ACAGGACAGTACTACATAGATCTAATAGCAGTGCTATTAAATTTGGATCATTTAACATACGGGGTGCGTTAGAAGCTGGGAAAATAGAAGCGTTATGTGAATATGGTGATATGAAAGATTTAGATATGATAGCACTCCAAGAAACCAACATGCATGTTGGAGGGAGTAAAATGGCAAGAAATTTGAAACAAACTAAATATAAAATGTGGTGGGTGAGTGGTAAAGAAGGTGCAACACAGGGAACAGGGGTTGGGCTTTTGATCGCTCAGCATTGGTTCCAGTACGCTGCGAGAACTTCATCTTGTGGGAGCAGAGGCCAAGCGAGAGATTTCAACTTTCCTGGGGGATTTAAAATCAGAGTAATTAACTGCTACCTACCAAGGGGAAGGGAAGATGAAGCAGAAGTAATTACTAAATGGATACAAAAAGAATATAACGACGCGAGAGGAGAAGGGAGGGGTATAATCATTCTTGGGGATTTCAATGCTACTAGGAACCCCCGGCTCGATCGACGACGAGAGAACGCAACGAGTATAAGACCAGAATCGGCACTACTTCAATGGATGGAGACGCAGCCACTTCATGATGTTTTCCGCGCTCAACACCCTCTTCGTGAAGACTATACCTGCCAGAATACGAGCCGTATAGACATGATCTTTGTATCTAGTGTATTCACGGATAGGCTTCTCAGGGTCAAACACAAATCATTGGATGGTATTGTGGCGTCAGACCACAAAATGGTCACTCTAGAAATGACACTGCACCGCCTTATTCAACAACCACTTCACCACATCATTTACAAAAAACCCAAGGGCTACAAATTCTTACTTCGCGATGCCAGCAACGACGATTGGGAGAATTTTGAGAACGGTGTGAATATAAGAATTGGAGACGGCAGTGAATCTTCTACAATGGGCCTACGGAGAGCCCAGAACGACGATGAAAAGGATCTCTTGACGCCAGAAGACCTTCAAAGAATCGACATTGACCTTGCATGGAAATGGTATTCAAAGCTGCTCATAGAAAGCGCCAAAGAAAACTTGCCAGGAAGAGTGGTTGGTCGGTCTGGAGTGAAGCCAGAACAAGAATTGTGTCTCCGCCACCTCATACGTGATCTCGCTAAAATTAAAAAATTGGCAAATCTGTCACGAACAGCAAGCAATGTCTAGCTCATGAATTGATGAATGACTTTTGTCTGATTCGAATCTGAAAAAGATCACGTGTGCTTGATTAATTTGTTCCGCTCATTTCCTTCACTCATTCCTCCATGCATAGTTTGCCTGTCAAGCCAAGTCGCGTCTCCTAGTTTTCTAGCTCCGTGAATAGCTCCAAGGATTCTAGAAGCGCTATAAACCAATAACCAAGGCTTATAGTGCCAAGGAACCTTGAAATAAGATTGCACCAGATATCTTCCTCGGATCCTGTGTATTAAGTTAACTCAACACTTGAAGTTCCGCATATGGTAAAAGTCCTTAGGAAATATTTGAGTAAGCTTTATTTAGAGTTCTTGAAGCGCGTCTCCGCTTCAGTCAAACAAGTATAAATATGATAGATTTGTAGCATAGTAAACCTCAGTCTGCAATAAAAACTATTCGTGAATCCATTCTAGTTCTCAGCTCATTATCATTCTTGTTATTCATTCACTTACCTTTCCTTGCAAACCCTTTGTCAGTCCTTGACAGGTTTAGGTAAGGGTAGTAAACGGTAGTCTTCCTTCTTGAGATCCCTTATGAATTCAGAGCAGACGAAGTTACCGGAAGCACCGGAGTCGATCAGCACGCGTGCCCCTAAGGTTCCGATCTTTGCGCGTACTTCGTGCACCGGCCGCTTCAACTCTTTATAATTTTCTGGGGTATTGCCATTCTTTAGGTGATAGGACTGTAAAATATACGATGAAGAATTGCGACCTTTATTGCCAGGGCAGTACTCTATTCTATGTCCAGGGATCCCACAGCCGTAGCATCGCGGCTTACTTCTATCTGGACAGTTTGCTTTGATATGGCCGTTCTTGCCACAGTGGAAGCACTTTCGACCCTCACTATGCTGGCGAGTCTGCATGGCCGCAACCTCAAGCTCTTCCTCCGTGAAACGCTGCCGGACATGGTCCAAATCCATGGACATGTCTGGCGCACTTGGCACACTGGACCTGGGGGCGCCGGCATTAGTACTAGCGAAGGACTGCGACCTAAACCCAAGGTTACGACTGCCATGGACTGGGTTTCCCCCCGCATGGCCACTGGTGAGGGATCTGAAGGCCGACAGGTCTTGATCCTTCAAGGCAATCTTGTGAGTGAAGGTCTCGAGCGAATCCTCAGGCCTCATGATATCAACAAGTTTGTTTCGGATATATTGTGGGAGTTTTCTGGCTAACTCCAACTTCTTGTCCATTGTAGACTTGTCATGGATTTTGTTGGCTAACGCTACGTATCTGCTCATGAAGCTGATTAGGGCCTCGTCTTTCTCCATCTTTAGCCCGTCTAACTGGGCCCTCAGGTTCTGTGAAAGATGAGTCTGCGTCCATCTCTTAACGAAGTCTTCCTTGAACGCATCCCAACCGATGTCTTCGCCCTTGTCATCGATATATTGGAGGGCCCACGACAGAGCACCTCCCTTGAGGATGGTGACAAAACTGGGAACTTTCTTGTTGTCCGGCCACGTCTGACTCCGGAACTGCAGCTCGATGAACTTGAGCCAAGCATCAAGGTCGAAGGCGACTTCGTGCCCCGAGAAAGTAGAGGTCTGAGCGGCAAACTGCGGGGCTGGCCTGTGAGGGTCCAGCCATCGGCTTACTGCCGGGGGCGCTGGTGCTGAGGCCAATTGATTATTGGCGAACTCGAGTTGCCTAGTGAGCTCCTCGACTCTTCGCGCGAGCTCCTCACTCGAGGCCTGCTGCAACTGTTGCTGACGCTGTGCAAATATCTCTGCTGCATCCATTTCTGCCGTGGTATAACTTGATTCCGATTCTGTATCACTTGGTGGGCTAAAAACCACCATAAACTATTTGTAAACTGTGTAACCGAATTACGGACAAATAACTGTGGACAAATAAAACTGTTGACAAATAAAAACTGTGCGACCAAAAAAAAAACTGTGGACTGATCGTTGATTATTGGGCTCGTTAAGACCGTGGTGCCTTTGCTACCATTGAAAAAATCACTGTCTTAAGAACCGGGGGGTTATACTGAGATGCCCTTAAAAACCGCAACGAGACGCAAATACATAGAACACACTGAAGTGTTGTACCAAGATAAAGGTCTTTATTAGTTTATGATACATATAATACTATACAAGTAACTAGTGCTGAGATGAATGAGGTTGCATACCTGAAGTGTTGTACCAAGATAAAGGTAAGGAACACTTCAGGGACGGAGAGTCCACTATTTATTATAGCGGGGAAGATCGGGTGGCTGAGCTCACGTCCAGGCAGGACGGGGTGGGTTTGAGGGTACCACTATAGGTATACCTCTGGTCCTACCTACCATGACGTCACTTGTTATAGGACGTGAGCTTAAGTTGCCTCGATTTAGGACACAGACTTCAGTGTTTCCGAAAATAGCTCAGTTGGTAGAGCGGGAGACTGTAGTTTGTCTGTCATCTCTAGGTCCCTGGTTCAAATCCGGGTTTTCGGATGTTTTGCTCTCATTACACTTTTTATGGACAGATTAATCTAGGATTAATCTATTTGGCAGCCCATACCAAATATAGTAATTTTTGCCTCTATTTGGCAGCCTACTTCTGGGGGCTGCCACTTAACTTCGCACTCTTGGGTGGCAGCTGGGCTGCCAAATACATTACTTTTTTTTTTTTTTTTTTTTGATAAACAGGGTCATAACATCAGTGGTAAAACAAGCAGCGTTCTGTGGATACATTGCCTTGCACAGCTAATGCCGCCGGAGGTACTAAGGGCAGCGGCGATGATATCTTCACAAAACAGTCTTCAATGTACACGGTTAGGGAATGATTTATTGAAGACGTCTAGGTAGCAGGTGAGACGCGTTTGCTCCGAGCGAAAACCTCTCATAGGCATTGATCTCCAAATGGCACCTCCAAAACTGTATGAGCGACCTACTTGTAAAAAAAGTCATTAGTTTTCTAAATGAGACAAGACAATGTCACTACACATAACTATGACGTAGAAGACGGGAGCTTTATTAATTTGAAGTATGAGTGTTATATACATATACGGTTCCTAGGAATGAAAAAAAAAAAAAAAAAAAAAAAAAAAAAAAAGTTAGAGGCCAAATAACGCTGGGTAGGCTGCCAAGTAAATAATGAATGTTATTTGGCAACTGGGCTGCCAAAGAGATTTGGCAATGGCTATTTCAATTATAGATAAATCGTTTTTAATTCTTTATTTAGTCCTAGAGTCAGATAAAGAATATCAATATCTACTTTGGGCTACGTACGACTAATATATTTCTCACATTTTTAAATTGAATAAAATACTCTCTGTTTTAAGACAGAAACCTACTCGTAAATTTCTGTTTTTTCATTATATTAGTTGAAGACTTTTTGGCGAGGACTCTTAGATAAATAATCTAGTCAATATTTGATGCTTGGGTATTGGCTCCGGATCTGAGCTTGTGTCGTGGAAGGCTCCCTGGTATTGGTATTTAAGACTGAAACAATGGCCCCCGTGCAAATAAAAAAAGACCCCATGCAAATAATTTTTTTATTTGCACGGGAGGAGCAGTGTAAACGAGCAAATATCTTTTTCCTTTTTTTAAATGCATTGTGCCAGACTCATCTCTTCTACTTTCTTTGACCCTTTAGACCCCCTCCTATCCTCACTCTCGCTCTCGGGTTCGCCATCGCTCCCACCATCCTAACATCATTTTTGAATAAATTGAAAGAGGCTCGGAAGAGGTTTATTGCTTACCCAATGAGTTGAAGCTGACTCGCAGAAGGTTTTGTATACCTCTCCCTTATTCAGATTTATCAATTTGAACAGAGAATGCGATTTACCGCCAGCGTTTGTCTTGATATCTTGGGCTTCGATCTTTCCTTATTAATATTTTTTTATTACTTTTCTTTACTTTTCTTTTTCTTCTTCTTCTTTAAGTCTAGCTGGCCGCACTGCCCATTGTTCAACTGAAAGGCTTATGCTCGAGTCTGTATTGAGTAAAGTCGTCATTGTGAAAGTCTATTCTTCCTGTTCTACTGTTCCTGCTTTTAACAAGCACAGGATGTCTGGATTATCGGACATATCCTATAAGTATGCATTCAGAAAATAACATTGCAAGTAAAAAGGATTGCAGGAAGTAAGTCAAATTTACTTTTTTTTAAGGACTCCTGTTATTTTTATTTTATTTTTTTTTTTTAAACGTACCACAACAGAATATCCACGTTTGTTCTTGAGTGTGATGTCCGCACTACGCTCAATTAGAGCCGAAACCAGGGTTGGAGCTCCCAAGAGGACTGCCAAATGTAGCGCTGTGTTTCCATTCTTTTTTTCAGGCGAAGTCAAGTAGTACCAAAAAAAAAAAAAAAAAAAAAAAACAGTTAGAATATTTCTCGCTTTGAGCTTCATCCTTGAATAGAGGCAACATGTAAAAACTTTTTTTAGATCTGATCAATTTCTCTTCTTGGCTTACACCAAATCTGGCGTCAACATCTATTATATTTGGGGATAAATATATTCAGATTTAGGGATGAAGAAGAAAAGGTGTCCTGAGTTAATTAATGCATTCGATTAATTTAGACAAAATCAGCAAGGGGCTTCTGTTTTTTCAACCTTGTTCAAACGTAGAGTCCAAGATATCCTTAGCAATGCCATCTCTGCCTGTTAGGATTGCATATTGCAATCCAGTCAAAGGTCCCAAGTACGCTCCCAAGAGCGTATATGCATCTCGCTCAATCTCAGCGGGGAACCCCACAGACCGAGGCTCGGGTTTAAACCTTGCCCGCGTCAGATTCGTCTTATGGTCCATAAGTAGTTGACGCACCGTGTCTGTGTCTCCCTCTTGGATCGCCCCAAAGAACTCTTGGATTAGTTTCTACTTTTGGTGAATACATAGAGATTAGAATAGTAAATACATATGAAAAAAAAAAAAAAAAAATGTTCTGGTTGCTCTTTAAGGAAAAGTTGCTTCTTCAGTACCTCAGATGCTTCATTGGTGGCTCCTCCCATGTTACTTGGAGCGTCGTCGCTCTTATTCTCCTCTAGTCCTGTCTGTCCATTAAACACTTTTCCAATTGTGCTAAGCATTTTTTTTTTATATTCCTCTCTTATATTGAGAATATTTCTTGACTGGAATCTTTTCTGAATGTCTAGCTTATAAAAGATTTATTTGAATGAAAGGAATGGGAAAGAGAAAAGAGAATGTAGGAATGTATGAATTAAAAAAAGACGATACTAAATACAGGGGTAAGTGCCATGTGCGCGTGTCAAACACGCCACGCGCTCACAATTACACAACCAAAAATATCGTTCAGCGCCATCAGATAGTCATTGGATTTTTTTATTTGAAAAAGACATTGGAATATCAACAAGAGAAGTGAATAATAATAATAACGATAAAAAAATATAATAATAATAGAGTAAAATGATCGACGGCCTTTTGTTTCTTTGTTTTATGCCTGTGCCTCAATTTCGGCTGTGTTGGCGTCTGCCTCCACCAGAGTCTCTAACCAGGGACTGCCTCCGATTGCAATCTCTCCAAAGCTCTTCTCCTGCTTCACTTTTACAACATCCTTGGTTGACAGTACCAGCAGCTCAAAGAAGAGTTTGGCCGCATCAGCTCTGCTCCGCTTTTGTTGACTCTTGTTGGGCCCTGCCATCAGCTCTGAGAATGTCACTCGTGTGGAGTTATTCTTATTCAAACTAGAGCTAGCTGTTGCCACACTGGATGTACGCGTCGTACGGGCGCTGATCTCGCTACTAACCTCGCCACCTTGATCTTGGTTCTTCTTTGATTCAATACCTTGTTGAACGAGTCGCATGGTCTGAATAGTCGACGTCGAAAACACTGTTCCAAGTAGTTGCTTTGTCGTGGCTACTGGTGCAGCTGTCTCTTCCATCTCCTCAAACAACGAAGTCTTCGTAGGAGCGAGTTCGGAATGAGCATCGGCTTCAGTAGCCTGCGCCTGTGCCTGTATATCCTTTTGTGGGGAATCCAGTTGAAAGCCTTCGTCGAAAATATCTGCTGGAGGCGGTGATGTCTGGTGAACACCGAAATCAAGTTCATTATCCTGCACTTGGTCTACCCAACTTTCAACCTGATCTTGCTGCCACATGGAGCTTTCGGCTTGGGCGTCAGCCACAGGGCGATCCTCTACCGGTGTCTCAGTTGGAACAATTTGAAGTCGTCTCGAAAACATACTCGCCAGCTCAGGAACCAAAGCGCTTCCCATCACGCGAGGACCAGCAGTGCAGTCCAAAAGATAGCCTGCGAGACCACCATGAGCAGCATCTTGTTGAATTTGTTGTAGTCGCAGCAGCTTTCGAGATCGGGGAAGCATTTCATGTGTCGTCAATAATCCATCCGCCACCAAGTCTGCATTTGTGCCCATTAAAAGTTCCTGAGACATCTCGGTCTCTTCATCAACAATTAGCTTACGCTTTTTAACAATAGCCTCCTTTGGCTGTTGGTTTTGCAGCTGATCATGCCCTGTACCCTTTGCAATTTCAAAGTTGACAGGCCCGCGGACACCATCCGGCGCTGGTATAAAGTCATCGAGCGCGGGCAAGTCGTGGACCGAACCATGAACACTAGGTGCACGGCCGTCTTCAGAGTCTTCTCCAAGGCGTAGCCCCTTATCGACGGAGGGGAGCATACCAAATGGATCCACACTGGCAGAACGACGCGTCACAGCTGCATCACGGCCTACTTCAATCTCAAGATCATTGTGACCATGAGGTCGCTTCAAGAAATCAAAATCTTCAGCATCACCCAACATATCCAAGTCCAGGGTATCATCTACGCCTCCGAGGTCAAAATCCATGGCGTCATATCCACGACCTCCATTTCGATTCATCTGGTTCCTTCCTACTTCAATATCTAATCCGTGGCGATGTCCATGATCAAACAAGTGGTAGTTGCCAGTGAGTAAGTTGTCCTCATTGCTTCCCTCAAGGGTGATATCCCGAAGGCCTGAGAGATTGTTCATCTTGTCATTCAAGCCCCAGGCACCAATATCAATAGTTTGGGCTGGGAGCAACAAGTCAAATTCTGTCATGGCGTCAGGGACCGTAATAGCATTAAATGCTGCTGCTGTGGCCTTAGAATGATCTCCAGTGATATCCAAGGTGTTGCCATCGAGCATCAGTAAGTTACCATCACCGTTGAGGGCATCGGACTTGAAAGATACTTTGATTTTGACCAAGGCCTCATTACAGTCCTCAAGAAGGTATTTTGTCTTGCGTGAATAAATCTTTGTAACACCAAGCAGTAGTTGACCCGAGAGACGAAGTGCCATAGGTGCCTGGTCGCTCCCCATAATAGCATCTAGCATCAGCATTTGTGTCCATAAGTTATGCAAAAACAAGTCAATAATAAGGGCAGAGCCAAGTTTTAGTGACGATTATATTGATTCAAAAGTTGATAGTGTTTTTAAAATGAAGACATTATTGACTCACCAACTGAGTTATTGATGTCTGTCTGAAGAGTTTGGTTCTTGGTTAATTTACGTTCCCAATGAGCAGCAAGCCAAACTTTGGCAAGAGGCCCTTTCTTGGAGAGGATGGCCTCTGAATAGAACATGTTTGCTTCTGTAGAAGAGGAAAAAAAAAAAAAAAAAAAAAAAAAAGGACAAGCACTAGGTCAAGTATGTATAAAGAGTGTGAATAGGCATATAATGATCTCACTGTGATCCTCTAACAAATGCAAATTAATGATGCAAACAGCGAGGATAATGGGAAGAATATGATGCTGAATGATGCCGCTCTTTTTTAAAAAACACGAAAAAAAAAAAAAAAAAATAAAATAAATATGGCGCGCCACAACACATACAATATTAGTGCCTTACTGCTATTGTTACTTTTTTTTATACAATAATTATAATAGTATTCTTTAAGTATATGACAGCCTTGCTTGATCTACACATTTAATCAGGTGGCCTTGTCCTATCGATACCGCCTGTTGTCATCTCGACTACGACCACGTGATCGGTCTCGACTTCTATCACGGTTTCTGTCTCTTCCTCTTCCAGAGCGATCCCGGCTGCGATCCCGGCTGCGATCCCGGCTGCGATCTCGACGATCACTACGATCACTACGATCATATGAACGATCCCTCTTGCGGTTGTTATCTCGGGAGCGGTCATCATGGCTACTGTTGCCATTGGCAATACTTCCATTACTATTGTTACCAACATGATCACTCTCTCGGATGCCATCTCCTATGCTCCGACGCTTAGTTGGTCTTCCATGGTTTTCGTCATCATCATCGTCAGAACGATATCGGTGTCTAGATGAGCCACCCCGATCGCGCGAGGAGCCTGAACGGTAGTCTCTGTACCGCGACCGTTCATCCTCAAGGGAATCACTCCTCCGTGGACGAGAATGCATTCTATCTTTGGATCTACGTCTCGAGCTGGAAGATCGCTGAGGGCTGGCACTACCATCTTTGCCTGACCTAGATCGATGATGGCCTCCATTTGAAGTATCACGACCACGACTATAGTCTCGTCGAGACGAAGATGGACTTGATCGCCTGTGGCTTGATCTTCGTCCGTCCTCTAATGGTTGGCGACTTTTTGATGGCGACCCTGATGCTTGTTCCTCTGCGTTTTTGATGTCAAGGTATCCTTTGCGTAATTGTGCATAGTGAATTGCTCCTGTCGGGAATGCCTTGCCTGCATACGTCCATAGTTGTTTTGATAGCCGGTCACGATCCGACCTTGATTTGGAGGCCGAAGACACGCTAACTACAATACTCTCAATCTCACGACCGATACGTGCCAAACACTCTGCAATAACTTGCGGCTCGACAGCATTCTTGCCTGACTCTCTGATGGTTCTTAGATCACGACCAACACCTCGCAATAGATCCTTGCTTGACTCGTCATGGTGGCTATTCGGAGACTCTACAGTCGCTTCTGATTCTGAGCCAGCGTCATTTCTAGATGAGCGAGTCGGTCGGGCTTTGGAATTTCGGGATTTATTGCCGCTGTTTGTGCTATGCTTCGATGCTGACCGGCTGTTACTGCTATTAGGTTTCACTAAATCTCGTGAGTTACTGTTACTAGTGGAATGCCGAGATAATTTGCCGGGCTCACGTCTTGATCCAGAGGATGCTGCTGCGGATTGCCTCGTTTTCTTGTCACGTTCTGATTCACGAAGTGTCTTTAACAAGTATTCGCCACGACGAACCAGATGGAGAGCTTTGGGGATCTTTTTCAAATCCTTGGCATCTTGTGTCGATAAGAAAAACTTCTTGGCAAATCCTAAGGATGTATCGTCTTGAATTTTATCCCAAGCCCCAAATCCATGTTTATAGATTCCGACTACTAACATGGCGTCTTCCTTCTGACCCCATGAACACGACCAGTTCAAGACGGGCTTCAGAGGCACATTCATTCTGAACTTGGTAAGGTCCGTTCCATCCAACCTTCTGTTCATGGCTCTCAAATCCTTAAGACGAAGAATCATTTGGCCTGCATTCATCTTGTCCATCTCTTTGTAAGTGAATAAAACCGCCTTTGCATTTTTCTTTGCGTACGGCAAGTCCTCATCATCATCTTGATTGTCAATTGAATCATGAGATACTCCTAGAGCATCTTCACAGGCATGGATAAGGTCTTCAGCCTCTTTTTTGACAACATTCTCTTCCTTATCTTCAAGTTCCGCTTCTCCTACAACATCTTTGTAGCGATCCGTGATAATGCCAAATTTAAGCATACCACGTGCAAGAGCACGTAGATCTTTTGTGTTCAGCTCTGAAGGGTCTAGTCCTGCACCACGCTTTTTCTTGGGTCCTGCAGGGGCAGAGTTTGAGCTACTGGATGCTTTACGCTTCCGACGACGGCCACTTTCGGACTCTGGTGATGGTGAGTTGTTTCTACCTTCAGCATACGAGACTCGACCACGATTGCGAGGAGTGTAGAGTTGCTCCTCTAACTTTGCCCGTTCTTCTGCTTCAAATTGCTCACGCTCTTCCAATGGAATGATTTCATCCCAGGACATGTCTCCAGCACCAAAATCTGCGTACTGAAACTGACTCAAAAATTCTTCGCCACCAGCCATATTGACTGCATCGGTTGTATCATGATCCTCAGCGCGCGCCAAAATCTCGTCGAGATCCAGCTCGTCCAACTTCTTATTAGCCGCGCCATCTGCCTGCTGAAACATACTCTGGGCTCCGAACTTAAGAATAGCTGATAGTTCATCCTTAGTGAAGCCAGTCGAGGTCTCAGCAGCCTTTTTTTGTTGCAAAATTTCCAACCCTGAGGTATCCATCTGTTTGATGATACAATACTCCAACACCATCTTCCTCTTGGCACGCTCAATAATGTCCTCCTCGATCGTATCTTTTGAGACAAACCGATAGACGTTTACTACGTTCTTTTGTCCAATACGATGAGCACGAGCCATAGCCTGTAGATCGTTCTGAGGATTCCAATCCGAGTCAAAAATGATTACTGTATCGGCTGTCTCCAAATTGATACCGAGTCCTCCAGCACGTGTCGAGAGTAAAAAAACAAAATCGATTGAGTTGGGTGCATTAAAGTGCTCAATAGATCGCTTACGAGCCTCAGAGCCAACGCTGCCATCTAAACGTTGAAAAGCAAATCCGCGCAGGGCCAAATAGTCGGTCATGATGTCCAGCATCCTCACCATCTGAGAAAAGATCAGCACGCGATGCCCGTCTTTCTTGAGCCTTGTTAACAGCTTATCCAATAGAACCATCTTGCCGCTGCTCATAACAATCCCTTTGAGTTGATCATCACGTTTGTCAGAGACCACCTCGGCGTTTGGGAACAGGTAAGGGTGGTTGCTCGCCTTCTTAAGCTCCATGGCAATGTTGAGCAGACTGAGTTGTCCATGTCCCGACACACCCTTATTCAAAACAGCAAAGTTTTTAGTGAGAATGTTCTTGTAGTAATGAGTCTGAAGCTGGGATAGTTCTACACGGAGAATACGCTCCGTCTTCTTGGGCAAAGATTTTTCAACATCCTTCTTTAGACGACGAAGCATGTATGGTTTTAGACTTTCATGTAAATCACGAATCTTGGCCTCCTGTTCTGCATCCGCCATATCAATCTCAACATCATCATCCACGAACTTATCAGGCATCAAAAAGTTGCAAAGTGCAATCAATTCTTTGACGCTGTTCTGCAATGGGGTTCCTGTGATTAGCAATCGATTCGCAGTGTGAAAGTCTTTAAGAGTCTCATGAAGTTGTGATTGTTTATTCTTGAGTCGATGTGCCTCGTCGATAGCAAGATAGGTCCACTTGATCCTGTCCAGTTCTGCGCGATCCATGCGAACCAATTCAAATGTAGTAAGTAGAATGTTGAACCGAATCTTGGTGGATGATCCCTTTTGATAAAACTCGTATTCACGAATAGTTTGTCGACTTGCAGCATCACCAATATACACGATCAAATTCATGTCGGGTGCCCATCGCTCAATTTCTCGTTGCCAGGCACCAATGGTTGAAAGAGGAACCACAACCAAATAAGGACCGTAAAGATTATGCTGGTGAAATAGATAAGAAATGATTGAAATCGATTGAACAGTTTTTCCTAGTCCCATTTCATCTGCCAGGATGCCATTCTCGTTCCTCGACCATAGTCGTGACATCCAGTTCAAACCTGTCAACTGATAATCTCTAAGCTGGCCGCCAACAAGAAAATCAGGTTGTGTGACAATCCTTTTAAAGGGTGGTCTCTGTCCTTTTGAATAAATGGCGGTCTTGTAGGGCACCTTCTGACTTGATTCACGGTCCAGAAACGCATCGATTTCTGCCTGATGGTTTTCAGAAATTCGATTCTCTGTTTCCCAGGTGGCGGCGCTGTAAGGCAAACGGAGCCACTTGCAAAAGTACTCAGTTTCGCCTGTCTTTGAGATCCGAGAAGCAATGATGCGTTCAACAGACGTATAATCCTTGAGTTCATCGCGGAGCATCTCTCGGTTCACATCTGACTGTTCAATTTCCTCTCGAGTTGTTGTGGGATCAGACTTCAGAGCAATTTCTGGGTATACAATTCGCTGAATGTAGCTGTCCACCTTCTTGAACCCTTTATACTGCCGCAGGTCCTGATATTGCTCCCATGTATTGTGCATGTGGCTGTGGTTCTTCCATTTGATCAAGAACTCCATATTGTGATGTGGATCATCTGGTTCATCTGGATCATCGTCTGAAAGAGTAGTAGTATTGTACCCGATTAACAACAGAGTATCATACCTGAAGACGTTTGAATACAAGAATGGAATCCTGTGGAAAGTGAGAACGCACCTGTGGCTTCGGATCGACGAAAGTCATGTATACTTTCAATGACATCACCTTCTTCTTCTGGAGCTGCGGGTTTCGTATATACTGGAAGCTTGTCATCTTCTGAACTTATACCCCAGTCATTATCGTCTTCATTATAATTCACTTGACCCCCCCGAGACGAGTACCGCATTCCAGACTCTGTATCGATGTTAGCTATGAAACAAACAGGTTCAATATACTTTGATTAGTGTGCCTCCTATGCAGTGCTTTATTCTTATTTAGTACTCACTTGAAAAAAAAGGGGAGGAAAGGCTTACCTTTAGTATTTCGTTTCCTACGTTTGGTGCCAGATCTTTTCTTAGAACTTCCCCAGTCCTCATCAGAATCACTAGCAGAAGGCGTGTCTTGGGGAGTCACCCTCTGACTACCTCGACCGTTTGATCTCGAGTCTGTAATAAGAGAATGAGGTAGCATGGTGCTGGAGTCAACTTTTTTTTCTCTTTTCTTCCGAATTAATACATAATTTTATTGTTCAGTACTTGGGTGAAGCATACCTTTTTGCGTTGAAGATCTGGGCGATTTTGTCTGTTTCTTGGACGCTGCCTTCTTTCTGTTACTATATCCAAAGTCGCTGCCGCTATCTTCTGATCCTTCAGCTGTGCCCGAGTCCGAAGCATCATCCTCATCGTTTTCAAAATCACTCTGAGGAAATGTAAATGATTTTGGATTTTTTTGACCAGTCAAATGCATTGAAATACCATGATGAAGTTAAACTACTAATAACGTATCAAGCATCATTAAATTACCTCTTCTTCCTCGTCAACATTGTCATCGCCGTCATCATCATCATCAATAATCTTTGGAGGGCGACGACTACGGCCTGATCGGCGTAGATCATATAATTCTGCATCAACATTCTTGAACTCTAATCTACTCGTCCTTGGTGCTCTATTGGTTAACTTTTGACTCGAGTCAGACCCATTGACCTCTTCAAAACTGTCATATGTGCTATCATCATAGTTTTTGGAATCTTTGGTAGGTCTGTATTCAGGTTCATCGTCGTCATCATTGTCTTCTACACTCGAAGAGTCAAAGGAAGATGCATCTGATTCTGAGTGGTTGTTGTTAACTCGTTCACTGCTGTCTTGCCCATCATCAAGATCAGATGATGAGTGCGAGAGTGAAGGATGGCGCTTACGCGGCGCAGGTGATGCTACCCTATCGTCTTCGTATGTTGAAGAGTCCTGAGCTATTAAATGTTAGGAGTCGAAAGAATTCATGGTTAATAAACGAGAGGTAGGCAAAGTATACTGTGCATGTCAAAAGAGATCTGCTGAGAAACGGATCGGTGGAGTTGTTTCCAACGCAGAATCTGAGAGAGATCGAGAAAAGAGCAATCAAGTTTTTATATACTGCCTATATCTCCTACAGGTAGTCCGAATTGGGGCAATTATTCAGAAAAGAGAAGTGGAAAATGCTTATTCGAAAATCGATGTGATGGCCAGAATTTGGCCTGGATGAGTACGACTACACAATCTAAATAATGAATCATGCTGCCCGTAGTTCTCCGCCGCCATTCTAGCCTTTTGGCTTGGACACATGAGATTCAAGATATTTAGGTGCTTCAGGATAGAAAGACAACATGCATTATAAATGGATTGGAAGTTCATTTTCTCATGCTGGAAACAGAAAAATGGTCAAGCATACAGCCTATTGATGCCGAAAACAATTTGTGATCTGTCATAGTCGCATTTCTTTGGTGCCATGGTTGTCACAACTATAAATGAAGCTAGACAGTAATGAATCTTGATGATGACTGATCTACGTCCGAGTAAAACAACATCGTAAAAACTTACAATCCATAGATTTTCAGTGAAGGGCAATAACTTTGTCAGTTGCAAGGTGCAAGGTGTATCTGCGTGATGTACACCCCAATAAACAATAAAAAAAAAAGTAGAGAGAAAAATCCGCCGGGAGACTATGACAGAATGTAGAAGATAGATGGCAGTTTGGCTGATGTTGGCAAAGTTGAATCGTGTTGATGGATGTAGCGTAAAAAATAAAAATAAAAAAAATAAAAAAAAAAAAAGTCGTTAGTGATGTGTTTAAATGAGTCGGAATGACTGTGATGCATTTATTTTTATTGTGATTATTTGATTCAAAGTTTCCCACTTTGCAAGTACTCGATGACGAGAATTGAGGGCAGAGCAAAGAAAGAACATAAGCATTTACAAATGAAGAAGAGACAAACGAGGCAATCTCATCAGGCTGAGTAAAGACAACGACACATGAGAGAGTACTGATCAGTAGCAATTTATAGCCTTGGAACAAAAAAAAAAAAGAGCACATGAAGTCCATGAAGATGAAGATGCTGTTTGTGCTTCAGACATTTTTTTTTTTTTTTTAGGCAGGATACGCGTTTCTTCCTATGCAAACTATACAACCATGCAAGTATATGGATAAATGTTTGTTTGCAATCTATTAAAGAACCACTCACATGTGAGGTAAAATGATGTGCCTGAGATTCGAGTGATAGATGAAGGATGAAGAAGTGGACGAGCAATCAGGAAAGTATAGAAGGTAAAAGTGCGAATGAGATATAATAACTGTCCCACCCTGGACAGACCAAGTCTTTTTTAAAGTGTGTTTGCAAGACAGCACAAGCGACTACGGTTAAGAAAAGCGTAGGGAAAAAAAGAGGAGGGCGACGGGTGTAGAAGAGGAAAAGAGAGAGTGGAAGAAATTCTCGACATTGCTGTCTGCACAATGCTAGATAGTCTAAGCCACTAACAGCATTCCATTTTTACACGTTCAATGTTCTGTATTTGATTCATCTCCTCAGTCCTTACTATCTAGAAATACTTCGAGATATCAAACGGTATCACAACATTCTTTCCATCGCACTTTCTTTTGAGCCACTAGCACTGAACGGGTACTGCCATCACTTTTGCAGAGAATGAAACGTGCTGAGACTTCCCGTCCACAGTCTTTTTAAAATCCTTCTTCATCAACTTATGGCCAGCATCCTTTAAAGCGTTGAGATAAGCTGATTTCATGCAAAGAAGAAGATAATGATTATGCGGAATAGGGAGTTATAGTTATTGGGTCAGCACAACCACCAAAACTACACTGCCTCTCCAAAATTAAGAACAATCAGAGTTCATTACCTGGAATACCAGGCCGAGCCGCCCAATTGATGATACTTAATGGGATATTAGCCTATATTTCCAGTACGAAGTAAGCGACAGTGGATTCAATAAGTATGTACTGCAATACGTACCAAGTCACCAATTATTACACTCATACAGCAATTCATGTCAATGTTGACTTACCTTGGGATTGTCATAGTATCTACACCAAATGTAGTAACCTTTGTTATCTTCGGTCGGCTGCACCACAATGTCCTGTCTAAAGTCATCAACTCGCACGGTACCTGGCCGCTCTGATATCGACACGTCTTGCACACTTCTTCCACTAAAACATATAACACCACCTCTGAGCTCTTGTATATGCATCTCATATATATATTCTCGAGGATACAATGGCCAGGGGTACTTGACCACGTAGTGGAGCCGATTGTTCTTGAGGGCCTTCCATCCCACCATGTTGGAGCTTTCGAAAGTCTAAATCAGTATATGCCTGTATGAGGTACTTGGTCGGCAGATCAGGATGAGTACCCAAGACTTTATACTCTTTTAGCGAACTGTTGGCCACAGATCGGTGGTACACCTTGAAGTCCTTCGTCTCGGAAATGAGGCCCCATGCTGCCACATCAGGCTTTGTAAACTCTGCAATTGCCCTATTGACATGATCTTCGCTAAATATTTTATTTCTTTCGTGTTTAATAGTAGATGGGATTGAGCGCAAGGAGAAGATATAAATGTAAATGTGTGAGCTGCACTGGAGAAAGATTAAAAGAGTAGGGGTGAATGAAATAATAAGGAAGTGATGTTTGATCTGATAACTTATACTTTTATAGAGGATAGACTGTGTATACAGCCAGGTAAAATGATATTAGATGACATTGGGATCTACCTAACAAAGCAGGATATGAGGAATTAAGCAACAAAACATCCAAAGGATGACGCCCCAATCTCAGTGAAAGACAGAAATAAGAATGCATTGGGTGCAGCTATTTCTCTTTCAGCAGTAGGTTAGGTTGGTGATAGCTCACTCAAAGAAAGCATTTGAGCCTGAAAAATGCTTTAGCCAGACAAGTTCTAGGGCAGGAAAAATAAGTGAAAAAAAAGAAAAAAAAAAAAAAAAAAAGGATCCGCCCACAATGTTGACCAGTTTGTCAATTAGAGTCCTCGCCAGAAAGTCAGGGACACATATATTTGTCACGTTTTTGAATTGAATAAAATACTTCCATTTTTAGACACAAAACAATACGTACAAACTCAAAATTTTAATTTTTTCGGAAGCGTTTTCTGTTATCAACAAGACGCTCCTCCTCAGACTCGCATTCCTCTTCAAAATTGAAGACGCTACCAATATCTTGACAAAGGTCCACTACCTCAGGCTCCAGGATAACAGCCTCGATGTGCTCTTGGTTCATTACTCTATCAAGTTCTGTATCCCACTCACTGCTGTCGACTATGATCATGTCGCCAAAATCCTCAGTGATATCAAAAGGCTCAAAAGACATCTTATCACTTGTACAATGAGAATGAGGAAGAGGAAGAGGTAAATGAGATCAAGAATGATGTCCATTCCGCTTCTAGATTTATTTGTCATGGCATCAATTCATCCTCTATTATTCAATAAATATATATATGAAATCCCAACTTCGTACGTAAATTTTTTGTTTTTCGAATTTTAATTCAAATTGAGTATTTTAAAAATATATGTGTCCCTGACTTTCTGGCGAGGACTCTAATTGCATCTGTCAAAATTATCTGACAGCCCGATAACAACGTCTTTCCCCCTTTTGCATCTCGACTTCAATTTTGCATTCTTTTTAATGAGATTAATTTAATCTTTTATTTCATTTACCTTTAGCCATCTTCCTCGTCCATTCTATTTATAATGGAACACGACCACACAATGACTGATGGATTTCAGCCAGGGTATGGTGCTGCCATCTGGTCGCCGGCTCTGACACCTATGGGAGAAGGCCAATACATTGGAGCACTTATTGGTCTCTTCTTGCTCTCAGTCGGGTTCCGTGCTCTTGTCGCTGCTCAGGGATATCTCGAAGCGTACCTTTATCTCCATTACTATCTTCGTCTATCATCAACTCATGTTCCCCGTACCTTCAAACAGGCATATGGAAAAGGGGAACAAGAACCAGATTTAGTACCAGTTGCAAACGATCATGACGAGAATCAAAACCAGAGCATTTTGAGTGCAAAGCAGCAGGATAGCAATGCGCTCCAGATATTTCCCGACCATTCACTTAGCGCCCTTCACGCCCAGGACCAACAGCAGAAGCAGCAATTGAAGAGACCCCAAGGCGAGCAAGGGCAGAAGGATGAGGGTAGCTTGACACAATCATTTTCACAACCACCTCAATTAACAGCGCATGCTGGACTCAACCGTAACCTCAATCTCAGATATAATGGACTTTCCAAGAAACACCGTCATCCTCTTTATCAACCTTATCTTTACGATCATGATCATTATGGCAAGCCTAGCTCTTCAGTATCATTCTTGTCCCCTATGCCAACTGTCCAACCTTTCGTTTGGCAAGCAGAGGTCTCAAGAGCGTTACTAATGACTGCAGTAGTTGGGGTTGGATATATGCTCATGTTAGTAATCATGACCTACAATTCCGCCTATTTTGCCGTGATCTTAGTTGGAGTTTTCGTAGGGGAAGTATATTTCGGACGATGGGCCCGCGCTCGACCAATTTCCCCTACACCATCATCCTCAAAGCCCAAGCCCAAGCCAGAACTAACGGCCTTATACCCATATACTGCTAGAGAAAGGGTGAATGGAGAGCATTCCGTATCGACTTCCTCGACTTCGCTCGCTTCAAGGTCTTCGCATGGTTACTCCATGATGATGCATCATGGCGCTTCAGCAGATGGGTGTTAACAAGATATCTTAAAATATAAAACGTAAAAAATAAATCCGTAACATTAAAGGTAGTCCATATTTTCCTGGGAAAACGCGCCTAGACTATAGAAAACTATGGAGTCGCAGACGGTTTATTGTAGTAAATGGAGTTTAGAAAGGTGTCTTTCATGTACGCACCGTGCCTCCGCTGATAAGAGAAGGAAAAAAAAAATCCATGAAGATGTATAAAAAGAGATTGCATCCCTAGCTCACGATTGATCCCCCAGATACAATATTGTTCATCTCCTCGCCTATCACTACAGACGAGTCGGCTCTATGTCCAATTTAACCGTACAGCCGATTCTCCAGTCCAACGGGGCCGCTCATTAGACTATTTACCTGCTATCCTCCTCCACCTTGTGTTGTGAGCAAAAGAGCATGGTGAAGTGAGTGGCCCAATGGATAAACAAACAAAGGCATCTAAATAAGCTTGCATATTGAGGACTTACAGAAACTCGATCTCAAGAGAGAGCGAGGAGGGAGAGGTATACAAAACCTTCTGCGAGTCAGCTTCAACTCATTGGGCAAGCAATAACCCTCTTCCGAACCTCTTTCAATTTATTCAAAAATGATGTTAGGATGGTGGGAGCGATGGCGAACCCGAGAGCGAGAGTGAGGATGGGTAAGAGTGAAGAGGAGAGAAAGGAGAAAGGAAGAGAAAGGAGAAAGGAAGAGAGGAGAGGATTATTTTTTATTTAGTATCTACTGCGAAGTATCTTAGATACCACTCTTCTATGCCTCAAAATATCGGGAACACTTGCGAGATGCGAATAGGAGAGCGCCATCACCAGAGTCAAAGCCAGATCGAGTAGGCCCTTTGACTGCTCGCGTACGACGTTTTCGTCAAAACTGACGAAGCAGTCGTTGATATGATCCTGAAAGGGGTGCATCGTCGTACTGTCACTGAACTACATCCTATTCATAAATCACATCGTTATGAGTGGTAGCTCTTAATTCATGGGGCATGTGATGAAGCCTGCTCCCTACTTGACCTGTTGTACGCGAAGCTCGTTTTCTAGCCGTGGCCCTCAATCATCGAAAAACGACACTCTTCCCTCCTGTTCCATTACCGTCAATTCCAATTGCTACCGATATCTCCGTATTACTCTTTGATCAGCTTCCGACTTGATCGTTTTCACAACAACTACTCGTCATCCTCGGGGTAGACCCTAAGAAACTACCTCCTCTATGTCTGTGCTGCCCAACATGGTTACAATCTTGGCGCGTTTGCTCATAGAGGAAATACCTTTAATTCTTTCCCGGGTAACAAACTCCAGTTCATTTGATTCCCTCAATAGCCTTGATGGATCTGCAAGCAGTATATCTTGCAATAGATGCGGTTGCCTTGGGAGTCTTGATCATGTTTTTTTTGACATCAAACCATGGTAGGATGAAGTTGTTTGCACGTGTTCTTTATAGACAATGTTTGAATTGCTGTGACAGGTCATTAATAGTAATATAAAATTAACTTTATTTTGTATCGACTAATCGGGACATCCTGTCGAACCACAACTAAAGGAATCTTTGTGCAAAGCCTCATAAGCTATAGGCGAGTCCACCTCACCTAGAAAGCACCGCAGTCAGGCCTGTAGGCTAGATTATAAAAGCCAAATAAACTTCCTTCTTAATAAAGTCTTCAGTTTCCCCCATATGTCTAGTTCTTTACCTGCAGTTCACCTTTTTCCCCTTTTCACAACAAGCATTTGTCTTTCGGTAACTCAGTTTGTGAACTCACCTATAAAGCCCCCATCTTCTCTTTTGGCATCCTATGGCGCTGATTGCCGCCAAGGTTATTTGCCTCTATTTTCTCTTGTTATTCTTGTTGAAGTCTTTGTGTCTGTCTTTTGCCCCTTGAGCAAGGATATACAATTATTTTGTCACGTGGGAAGGGATCGCTACCAACTATTTAACGAGCAGCAGCAGTCAGGTAACTGGTTCTTTGTTCCTTCTTTTGTACAAGAATCATTGGAGTATCGACTGTTCTCGTTCAATCTTTTGCATTGTGTTGTCCTTTATTTGTATTTTGTCTATCTGTAGCTGGAAGTAATCGACTGCGCAAATCACCAAAAGGCGAAGCTCTCCTATTCCAAAAATATTTCTGGTGATCTACGCAGGGGGTGACAGCTACAATATCGTCAAATCTATCAATCTTACTCATCATGATCCCTATGTGACCGTCGAAGGAGGCTTAAGGTCTCGCCGCTGCGACGTGGATCAGTGATTTCGGAGGTGTCACCGAAGGGGAAACTCTGAGCAACAAGCTGATGTTCGTCGAGAGGCAGACAACAGGCAAGATCCAACGCTGGATTAAGCGCTGGAAAATGACAAACAAGACGAGTGGTACCTGGGCCAGTTTGTTAACGATGTCATCATGGAAGCCTCTACTCCAAGAAGCCAGGACGTTATCTTGGAGGAGCTTCATTCTATTAAGCAAGGGGAGGATGAGACGACAGTTAATTATGTCCAAAGAATGAAGCTTACCTTGGAGCTCCTCGAGCTAGAGACTGGTTGTGAAGGACAACCATATAAGATCCCAACAACTACCGAGCGTCTGCTGGCTTACCGATTCTGCAAGGGTTTGAGGCAGGATCATCCCTTCAAAGTCAAGAATAAGGAGGCGCCTGCGACCTTGAAAGAAACCTTTGAGTCAGTAATACTCTTGGTCGAAGGGAGTCGCTTGGGCATTTACACTACTGAGAGTCATGCCACCGTTTGCAGTAACGCGAAACATGCCGCACCAGTAGAGACGAATGTTCTTCTCGGATCGACCTTAGTACCTAGGACATACTACTCCGGTTTCCTGGCGCACTTCAAAAACGACAAAGAGAGGGTCAATGAGTTGAGTGCGGACGAATTGACTAACATGTTTGGGGCCTAGTCCCTCGCCGCTGAGGAGCGAACACCTGAGGTACGAGTAGCCCAGACCACCTCGAGGATGAGCCCAGCTATAGCGAGGCGAGTGTTTGGTTCCTCTGAGTTAGCAAAGCATATTAGAGTAGAGCTTAAGCCGAGCCTTGTGTTCCAGACCACCGAAGCTCGAAGCCAGCAGACTATGCCCATGGTGCGTAGAACTTGCCGCAAATGTAATCAAGAAGGGCATATCTTGTTGTTCTGCCCATTGGTGGAATGTTTCCGATGTGGTGAGCGTGACCACGCTTCGAAGGTGTGCTCCAAGGGACAAGAAAACAGGATGGTGCAAGAGGTACTCGCCGAAGGCGCTTGATTTCCTCAAAAAGAGAGTCGATGATGAGCTCAAGGCAGGGAAGATCATTGAAATGAAGAGCGCAGGTATTGCTCCATAGATCCTGAATAAATCCTTTAAAAAAATATTTTAAATCGAAGATAACAAGCTCCATTTGTCGCCCAGAGCCATTCATGCTTAAAGCCAACTTTGTCACAATTTTTGGTGCAGTCTCGATTAATGCTGAGTGGACTATTATATCCAGCATCCTCTTTTGTACATTGGATATAGCAGCATGTAGTAAGTACCTGGTGCTCGAAGAAGGAACAACAGTTTACAATGTGCCGTTCATTGATACCTTCACTGAGGACAATCCTGTGTTGATGAGAAGCACAGGAGCTCCTGTATTGTTGACATTCAACAAAAAAAGGCTCACCGCTGTAGGTCAATGTACCTTTTTGATCGTGACATCCAGTGACAGCAACGGTTAGAAACGCATCAACCTGTTTATGCGATCTCAATGCTTCCCGTTTATTGACGTTTTTATTGAGAGAAAGCTCACTAATTATTACTTGAAAAGAGTGAAATAATAATTGCTTGTGCAAATAAAAAGATTTATTAGTGTGAATAAAGGTATACATGAGGCCATGTAAATATCTTTTTTCAATATTAAATTGGTCACACATATACGAAAAGAATTAGGTGTCCTGCGCACGGGTCTATGGGAGCAAGCTGATGTTCATGCAAGCAGGGGAATGATTGTTGCTGCGGAACAGGTACTGGGTTACTGTTTTGACGCAAATATTTAAAAGTTGGTATTTTTTTTTTTTTTTTTTTTTTTTACACAGTCTTTGACTCTATGGCTCTTTGACTCTTTGACTCTTTAACATCCAATTTCTCTCTCGCCTTCATCTTAATTTCCCCCGCTACAATTACACACATAAAGTGTGTCTGGAGTTGATACACCACGCATTATCCTCGGGTAAGATTACAATTGATCTGTTTCTACGATTTGCTTTGAACACACTTTAATGGAGATGTCATAGTAAATGGAGTAAAGCAAGGCCCTCACTCAAGCTTTCTACACCCTTTCTCCTTAGCACCATGACCTTCGGATTAGAGGGATCTGATGCGGCTGCTACGACCGTTCGTGTGCGTGGTAGTGAGAACATCAAAGCCTATTTGGATGAGTTCTATGCTCACGGTCATGTAGAACTTGATACCGCCAGGCTTTATTGTGGAGGTGACACTGAGATTGTAAGAGACTTTTGAGCTGATAGCCCTTTTGTAACATTTTTCATGAACATAAGAAAGAGAAGAGAAGAAAAGACCACACATAAATAGGGTTTTTTTTTTTTTTTTTTAGGCTTTGGGTCAATTGCCGACAGAACCTTTCAAAATTACGACCAAAGTCTGGCCCTCTGTCCCCAAAGCGCATGCTTTAGAGCATCTGAGGAGGACGCTTCAAGAGTCACTGATGGCGTTGAAGCTCAAGAAAATTGACATTTTTTATTTGCACGCGCCTGACTATACGACTTCATTTGAGGAAACTGTCAAAGCTGTGGATGAGCTCTACCGTGAAGGGCTTTTTGAACGGGTAATTGATAATCTTCTTTTTTGCTCGTAATGGATGGCAATGGGCCAAAGACCAGCCATAAATTATAACTTATTTTTCTCTTTTACAATTTAATTGTAACGGCTCTCATTAGTTTGGATTGTCCAACTTTGCAGCGTGGCAAGTGACATTGATCCATCAGCTTTGTAAGCAGCATGGATATGTTCTCCCAGTCGTTTATCAAGGAATGGTATGATTCCCAGGTATTTTCTTCGATATTCAAGATACTTTCGGATGTTCTCACACACGTGCCTTTTTTTTTCTCAGTACAATGCGATCACAAGAGATGTTGTCAGAGAACTCTTCCCTTGTCCAAGGCTCTCAACATCGCATTCTACGCTTATAACCCTATCGTAAGAATGAATCATTGTCTAAGCATATCCTCCTTTTACGCTTCATGACATCTGATACATCTCTTTTTTTTTCTCTTAGGCTGGAGGCCTTCTTTCAGGTAGATATAATTTTGATAGCAATGATGCTCAGGATAGTGGGCGCTTTGCTACGAAGGTATGCTTTTTTTTTTTTTTTTTTTTTTTTTTTAACGAAAAAAAAAAAAAAAAAAAAAAAAAAAAATTAATTGTGACTAGATGCTCAATGATTAAAATGGTGATTAACCATGTCGGTTTTACTTACACATGTAGACCGAATTCGGAAAAATGTAAGACATTGTGTCATGATTAGGAATAAAGCAAAATGGCTCTGTATTTTTTCTAATTTTTTTTTTTTTTTTTTTTTTTTTTTAAAAAAAAAAAAAAAGTTATCGTGAACGTTACTGGAATAACTTGTTCTTTGAGGCTGTCAAGAAAGTGGAAAAGACAGCCAAGGATAACAATCTGACCTTGATTGAGACTGTTTTACGTTGGATGTCGCATCACTCCGATCTGGGTCCACAGGATGGTATTATTATTGGTGCATCTTCAATGCAGCACCTGAAGGACAATTTGCGGGATTTAGAGAAAGGTCCCTTGCCACAACATGTTGTTGAGGCATTGGATGAAGCCTGGGAGCATGTCAGAGTTGCATGTCCCTCATACTTCAAGACTGCAGCAGCTGCTCAAACCGTATCTAATATTTTTAGGAAGTTATAGAAGTAGATCCCAGTCATATCCTAAAAAAAAAATTCCTTCTTCATTCTCATTGATTTCATCTCTTCTGAATGACATTATTTTTGTAGATTCAGAACTAAAAAAGGTACATTTACATTATTTAATAGTTGCTGGTGGGACAAAAAAAAATATTATCAAGTGTTATTGAAGTTTTTTTTTTTTTTTTTTTTTTGGTTATCACTTATTGTCACAACACAAGGACATTAGACAGAGTGATAACAGTATAATAATTATAGTCAAAAGAGAAGGATGAAGGTCAATCGACGGCATTTTGTCGGGATTCTATATGACTGTGTCCTTTTTGAGTATGCATCTCAAGTGTCAGTTGATAAGAACTACATTCTCTCAGTGGAGGATCTTGCAGACAGTTTTTTATTCGTTGTCGATTTCTATAAACGTAATCGGTCGTTGATGGACATTCCTTGCGATCAATTCATTACTCGAAATCAACTTCATACCGTCATGGGTTTACTAGATTATATCGAAAATCTGGATCGTGGAGTCTTCGAGCTTTTCCCAAGGAATGTAGAGCTTCGCGAAGAAGCACCATCAGTTGCTTCCACAGCATCTTCTTCTGCTAGACAGGAAAGGAAACAGCAGGAAAAACTAGATCATAGTAGCCATATTGGCAAAAATAATAACATCCACAATCGTATTGGAAACCCCAGCAATATTAGTATTAGGTCCAGAACAGATGGTGATCCATTTTTCGAAGAGCGCACTGGATATCGTGGAGGAAGTACTATGGCAGCGGACCTATGGAACCACCTTAGTGGATGTAGATTATCATCTGTATTAGATGCAGACATAGATGCAGATCTGAATGAGGAATACTCGCTTGTGATTCCAGGGTTGTCCAAAGCAGATATTCAGACGTTTTTATGGGAGTATGCATACATACCAGAGATATACCAAGATGACATTGCAACTTTGATTCGGTATTTACGGCGGGATGAGTGGATGATGGATGGATCCAAGGGGCCAGCTATATTCTTTGACTGGGGCCTTGAAGGCATTCAGAAATATTCTAAGGACTATAATCAGAACAAGATTCGAAAAGCCAAAATACGGGAACAAGAAGAGGCTAAGAAACTACAGGAGGAAGCTCATAGACAACAGGAGGAATGGAATCGACAGCAGGAGTTGATACAAGAACAAGAAGCTGTGCACCGGTTAGAGATTACAAACGATTTTATTTGGAAGATACACAAGGTCTGCTATCGATGGTTATTTTGTTATATCCTCTTTTTTGAAAAGAAAAAATAAGCGGCTAAAGCTCACTTTTTTTTTTTTTTTGTCGCCAAGTCCTCAGCTATTACATCTGTAACATCCACGGAAATCAAGGATTTTATAAAGACACTTGAAATGGAGATAAGCGAGTACTTTGATTTCTGCTTTGTTGCGCTCACAGCCGTAGGGTGAGTCTAACTGCAGATATCATATAATTTCTCGAAGAAAAAAGAGACCGTTTATTATATCTTTAATTTCAATTATACAAATGTTCCTCTTTTTTTTTTTTTTTTTTTTTTTTTTTAAGATCGTTTGCATCTGGACTCTACACTCAATCGAGTGATCTCGATTTGACATTGACGGGGAATAACAAGCATATTAGTATGGAAACACTTGCGGATGCGTTACGGCATTTTCATTACGAAGGTGTCTCGATCTCAACATGCAGTAGCGTCCAGGAGCGAAGGGCCGTACAAGGGTCAGAAGGAACAGTGGCCGCAATGGCAGCGATGCCCATTTCAAGATATATCCCCTTCGCCTTTATTACATTCACAGACCCGAAATCAGGGATTGTTTGTCACCTTACTTTGAATGAGCCTCTGGATATCCAACGCTCAAAGCTTATTCACACATATACGCAAATTGAACCCCGCTTTGTCCCTATAATGATCGCATTAAAGCATCTGGTGGGGAAGTGTCACTTCCTCACTGGATCTGTACATCAGGATAAATATTACTCTGTGCCGCTGGGGAGCTATGCATTAGCACTCATGTTAATAACTTTTTTACAGACTGAAAATCCACCACTTTTACCAAAACTTCAGCTTCAACCGAAAAATCAAAAGAACAATGATACACAACAAGGGCAGTTAGGGCAGCAGATGGATAAAGATGACCGTCCTATCAAGGAAAAGATTGTCCAAGGGATCGACTGTTCATTCGATCAAGATTATGATTTTTATCAGGGGTTTGGCGATAAGAATATCAAGAGCGTAGCAGAGTTATTGGTCGATTTTTGCCGTTTCTTTGGATATGTTTTTGACTATGAGTTCAAGGAAGTGAATCCTCGAATTGGTGCTTTTCGGTGGCGGCCAGGGCAGCTCTCTAAGACTTCTCTAACCACTTCAGTTACTAGTACTGGTAATAGTGGTAATAGTAGTAGCAGTGACATTGGAGCAACGCTACAAAGCCATACAGCTTCAAGCTCCAGAGTCTATTCTTCCCCTTCTTCTACAGCAACTTCGGCTACTATCAAACATAATCGTATCGCGACCGCAAAAGCCAAGGAAAATGCTAATGGAATCACTCTCCATATTATGGACCCATTTGATGTTGGATTCAATGTGACAGCAAGTTGCAATGGTGATTTGGTCCGCTTAATCAAAGGTTGCTTCCAAGAAGCATACGAAGCTTTAGTTGAAGGAAATATTAACCTGGCATTTTCTGAATCAGGATAAATAAAAATGGGAAATATTAGGACGCATGAACTATGTTGAGTTCAGCGACAACTGATAGAAACTACAAAAAAAAAAGCCCATTTGGTTGTTTTTATGCTAGAGATTTTTGCCGTTTAGTGTTCGATGTCGAAATAGCCCTTATTAATGGTGGTGACGATGGAGATTGTGCGCGCCGCTTCAACAACCCTGACGCATGTATTTCGTTTGACGATACTAAAAACCGCTCCGCTTCACTGCGTGTCCGTTTCAGATATTGAAGTCTTCGCAAGATTTCACTCAAAGAGTGTCTCTTCACCAATGCAATTTCATCTTCCTTATTCTTGGAAAAGATCTTGCTGTCGTCTAACCTTGTCCAGAATCGATCCTGGATCTCTTCTATAGTATAGTGGTATCGTGTGAGTATTTGAGAACTAAAGCTTAGTTGTTTTTTTTTTTTTTTTTTTTTTTGTTTCTTGCTAACCAACAAATATGCCAATTTCACTTGCCTGTCATGCCATCGTTTACAAATGTCCGTGCAAGATCCAAATCGCCTGAACAGGCATCCAAGATATCAATGGCCTTCAGTTGGGGCACCAGCTCGAACATTACCATGGTTCGAATCTCATCTTTGTATAAATGCCGCAAGTATATTAGCAACTGACTTCGCTGATAAAGGATATCCTCGTCAGCTTCCGGATCGTCCCTGTTCCTTGCATCATCCAAACTGTAATATGCTTGAATAGCATCGCGTTTTAATGTATGCTCTTTAATACCCTCAGATAAGCATTTTGTAATTTCGCTGGAAGAAGCTCCGCTGTGCGGCTCCTTCTCTGTTGACATTGTATGTAGTTGCTGTGTAACTATGTTTTCCTCGATTGGCTTTTGCGGCCCCTCCGCGACCCCAACCTGCACTTGTTCCCCTACTGAGTCATTCTTTGGTTGCTGAAGCTTTGATGGCGTGACCTGCCCTGGCTTCTTCACTCGCTGCTCTACTTTTGTAGGCTCGTTTAGACGTCGCGTTTCTACGTGGTGGCCATGCTCTACTTGTGATTCTTTAACAAAACTATTTTTGCTCAAGACAGTCGTTGTAGTTTGGTTCTCAGAAACACTCGATATAATCCCTTGTATATGCTCAAGTTTTTGCACGAATTTTCTTCGCCTTATTAAAGCCTCTTCAACGTCATCCTTTTCGTCTCCTTGCATTTGCTTTGATGATGATTGAGTCTTATTCTCAGCTACTGGACGTAGCTGGATAAGCTCTGTACTAGCTTCTTGATCATTAATCGAGCTAATAACGTCGTTGAAGTGGTTTTTATCGCCCAGCTCTACGCCATCATCAAAACTTAGGTTGTCCGTCGCTGGTAAATCCGATTCATTCGTGCCTTGGGAGACTGCTCCTGATGTTTTCACTCCTACAGTCTGGTTGCTTCCGAAGTCATGCTCTAGTACACTAATTTTTTTGTCCTGCATTATTGTCTCCTCTTTCTCTGTCAGTGCACTGGGTATCATAATATTTATAAAAGAACCATTAGCTGTGCACTCTTTGCCCTTTACTCGTGGAATCATGGCCTCAATTTGCTTATCATCGTCTGATAAAACCAAATCATCCAGTTGGTCACCAATAAATGTCACAGTGTCTGATTTTGTTATTGTCGATATTCCTTTATCTTCCACGGCTTGTGCTAATGACTGGTGTGCCTCCCTCGCTTGCGCTAAAGGCGCTGGTTCTTCTTGAGAAGTTTGCGTATCCCATCCTCGTGTATATTGAAATCGGCGCGGTGGATGCGGATGTGGTTTTAAAGATGCTGTAATCAACTTTGCCGGAAGATCAAACCCAGAAAAAGGACTTCCATCATCTTGAGTCGACTTCAGATCTATATTGGCTTTGTCCTTGCACGAATAGGAGCTCTGTCGAGGAGGAAAGAAGGGTCTAATTATCTTATCGGTTCTTTTAATCGCTTGAACGATGCGTCTAGCAACAACGACATCATCCTTGTCAAGTAAATCCAAATTTAATGATTCTGTCGCCATTGGTGTTAACAGTTCTGACCCGACAAAATCTGTAGTATATTGATGCCCATTTGGCTTGATTAAGTCCTGAGTAATTGGTGATATGGATAAGGTATTAGCAGTTATGGCTAGTTCTTCCTGAGGATCGTTTACCCATCTGATTGGCGTCATTGATGGCGGAAAAGGACTTCTCAATGCTTGTCCTTCAGTAGTCAGGACCATCTCTATCATTGGAGGCTCTGAAGATTTTAATAGTGGGCTTGTGGTTTCTTTCATAGTACTCGAGAGTGCCTCACTTGGTGATGATTGTGAGGACTGTGATGATTGTGATAATGAGCTAGTTTGTTTTAGCTTAGACATTTTCATTGCGACAGCAGGAGTTGCCTGATCGGTTTCCCCTGTTACAGGTTTGAAATCTATACGATCCATAGGAGATAGTGATGTTCTCAAACTTATTCGCGAGTCTTGTGGTTCAATGGTGTCATTCTGTTTCAGTTTGACAGGCGAAAGCGAAGAATACTTATTCGTAATTGATGGAGTTAGTTTCTCCGGCGTGACCTCTTTTCTGTGTTGTGTTGGTTCCTTACTTGGAGGATTGATGCAGGTTAAGCTATCAATATTGTATGTCGAGCTTATTTTGAATTCGCTTAGTAAAGGCGCTTTTTGTGATGTATCACGATTCTCGCGACTACGGGCGATGGCCGACATATTCTGTCGATGGAAATTATCTTCTTCCTCATCCGATTCAATGTCGCTCAATTCTAGAATGTTGAACAAGGGAGCAGTGTTTTGACTAGAGAAATGCTGTGTCTGATATTGCAAAGTGTCTTTGCCGTTGGATTCATGATCAATAATGACGGGATTTTGTGATAATGCCGATTCCATTTTTTGTGCAATTTTGGATGATACATTGTTAAACCCCTTTTCATCCATGCTCATTTGCTGGTTTGATTGACCACTAGAGATCGATAACTGAGGTCTTAATGATGGTGATAATAATTCTAAAAGATTGTCTGGCCTTTTCGTTTGGACTTCCTTTTGCTCTATCATTTTTAACGGTCCCTTTTGCTTGGTTTTGCTGAACTCATATGGAGATGGTGGATCCGTCAGTTTCAAAACTCTCACAGCCCTATCCCGCCATGACTGCCATGAATGCTGTTTGTGCTATATAAGCAATATCCATAAAAGTCAAGTCAAAGGTTGTTCAGACTGTTAGACAAAAAAAATAAAAAAATAAAATCGCCTTTGATTGTCGTCAATCAAGCTTTTTTTGAGTACAAAGTGGGAAACATACCGCTTCAGCAAAGTCTTGGTAAATGCAATTTCCTTTCAGCTTTGCATTTTCTTTCGCTTTTTCTTTGATGTATTGGCGTAATAAATTATCATCCTCTAATGAATAATAAGACTTTGCGGTCCTATTGGCGAGTTGAAGTTGATACTCTGGCGAATTGTGATTGACAAGAGTCTGTTTCTGAATGCAATCCCTAATCCAGTCTGTCGAGTGCATTGCCTGAGCATATTTCCGTCCTGGATCTGCCAAGCAAATGAACGCTGTCCGTTCATTCTGAGTGATGGTGCCACCATTTTGCTGCGATTGACGATTAAAGTAAGTGATAATGAGATAGTAGTAAAATTAAACCCACACAGAAAAATAAAGATGGTAAGATATCTATGTTAGTCAATAAAAAAAAAAAAAAAAAAATAGAAAGAAAGAAAAAAAAAATGCTTCACTTCCAAGTAGGAAGATTGATAAGTCAAAGTTTGGTCCCGCCATTTACTCTAATTAAGTTCTCAAGATCCGAGCTGTTCTGAACAGAGCGAGAGATGCATATTTGTAATGGTTGTCCTTGAGCATCCACAAAGAGCTGATGGGCACTCTGTTGATCTTGCTCAATGAATGTTCGGCTTCGACGTATGTCAGGCATGATGACAAAACCCTGTTTCGTGAAAGAATTTGTTGAGAACTGTAGTTTATTTGTTAATGACAGAGGCTCTCACAAATTTCTTCAGGTGTCGAATGGGACAAGTGTGCTTCATGCATCTGGCGCAATTGTAGGAGGCGTGTATCACATGGAGTGAGGTTTGAAGAATCTTATATTTAAAGTCGAGCATGACTACTCTGAAGTCTAACCTGCTCTTTGATCGTATCACGATCTAACGCGTGTCCCTCAACTAGCCACGAGTGTACAACTGTCTTCCACAATTTTTCCTTGCATGAATTGAAAAAGAAACCCATGTGTCCAACCTTCTTCATGTTTAAATCCTCTACCGGATTGAGGCCAACACATCTCCGCAAAGCATTTGGGATTGTCTCTACGATCCGTGGCGCCGAGGTTGACGAAAAGTCGTCATCCGAGAAATAGATTGAGTACGTTGGCACTTTGAAAAGTTCAAAATTAGGCTTCCACTCGGGGTTACCACCTAACATGTAATCCTTAAACGATCCCCAATACGACCAAGTTTCAAAACATCCCTTGGGCAAATCCTCCATTGCGTTCCATAACGTTTTTCCTGGATAGTATCCATATCGTGCATTGACGATGGGTGAGGCAATGAAGAAGAACCAATAAGTGAACAAGGGACTATTCATATACCGCCAATAAGCAGATGTAGCACTGACGAAGAGACATCGCTCGACGTTGCGTGTGTAGTAGGCGTCAATAGCAGGTAAGATATGTGCCCCGACGGAATGACCCACATAAACAGTTGGGTTATGTGGAAAGTGCTCCAGCACATATGTGAAGACTCCAGGCAAATCCTTGAGTGCCCAGTCGATGATCGTAGCCTCAAAGCCGATCAATGGGCTCTTAATATTCTTTTTATCCTTGGATGATGCATTATTGGGCTCCTGTGATGGAACTGTGGACATGCTGGATGGTTTGGGTGGCAGTGGTGGGGCTGAGGAAGACGAGTTGCCGGGAGAGAGCGGAACGTTTTCGGCAGAGGCCTTTAGGAAAGCAAGCTGCTCATTATTGGGCATAGATCGGCCCACGCCACGGTTGTCGTATGTGACGACAACCATTCCAAGCTCTTGGGACAGATACTGTGCAAATTTAAAATAATAATCCTGAATGGTGGCGGTAGCAGAGCCAATGATAGCGACTTTTGTCAGTTGATCGATTGCTTGTTTGCGTATTGCCCCATTAGAGAAATCAGAAGTGTCATTGACGGGGACAGCATCAGGCGGAAGAGCAGTGACGATTGGCCCTTGTGGGAAGAAGAGTGTGCCACTGAGGAGGAAACCATCAAGCGCAGTGACTACGATCGGCTGGTAGCTGAGCTCAGTCTTTTTTTCAGTAGCTCTTGGCTTTTGTTTTATAGGCATAGTAAGAGCTAAGGAGAATGCAGAATGAGTGGAGAATAGGAGAAGTGAAAATGGACTGGTGAGTTTCTAAGAATGCGATGACAATAAAGAAAAAAAAAAAAAAAAAAAAAAAGATTAAGGAGCCGAGCAGAAATGTATTCTACATTTCATGAGCCGGAAAAAAATGTCACTTTTTCAGGTGCCCTCTCGTACTGACATGTCCATGTCGTACAACTGTGTACAAGAACATGTTCACAGACATCGCCAACTGTGTGCTTGAACCCTCCCCTTCTGTGCCAATCTTCGCTCTCTCTTTTTGTTTTACTCTTTCGTGCCATTTAGATCCATGCTGAGACCATGACTATGTACATGTAGCCATATCACATGCACTTGTATCTGGTTCTGCCCTAAATAATCCAAAATCCTCGGGATAGCAACACTATGACTATCACGTGTCAATGCACAGTTTGAACTTTGAAATAGAGGGGATCATGATTGTCAATGATTTGTCAATTGAAGTGTGGCTGTCCTCCTTATTAGGACATGCACAATTAAAATTGATGGTCATAAATAAATACATATTTGTACTGTACCACATGTGGGCAATGCAGCAATTGACAGACACAGCCATTCGCCACCATTCAAGATTTTTGCCACCATTCCATTAAAAAATCTCTCAATTTGTAACAAGCATATAAAATGGCCTTTCCGCCATTCCTTTTTTTTTTTTTTTTTTTTTTTTTTTTCATTAGTTCTTATTCTTACTTACATACACACACTCTTTCCACAACTTGTCATCCTCTTTGTGCCTTTTCAAGTCCCCCTACATTAACAACGACACTACCTATACAATATTTGAATAAAGATGGCAAATGAAGCTCAACAAGTTATGCTAGCCCACAGTTGGGCTGAGGACTCGGGTGTTGACCCTTCCGGCTACTGGATGGCAGAGAAATTGGTAAAGCAAGAAAAAAAAACCCCTCCTACATATATTTGCCATTTCACTGTAATCTTTTTTTTATTCTTCAACAAATCTATAACTGCTTTTTTTTTTTTTCCTCCCTCATTTTAAAGGATGGTGTACGTGCATATTTCGACGGCACCCATTTCTACTCGCGTGCAGGCAACAGGTTCTTTGCACCCCCATTCTTTAGCCAGCACCTGCCTAAGGACCAACCTCTAGATGGAGAACTCTGGCTCGGCCGTGCTCGTTTTCAGCAATGTGTCTCCATTGTCAAAAACCAGAAGGCTGACCGTGCAGATGAATGGAAGGAGATGACTTACTTGGTTTTTGATGCTCCCAAGCTGGATATGGTGTACGAAAAACGCCTGGAGTACCTTCGCTCCATCATGCCCACCTATGGCAAAGATAGGATGGACACTTCATCTTCATCAGGCTCCAATAGCAATAATAACAAAGTTCCACCCTATTGTCGATTGGTCCCCGTACAGAAATGCCTTTCCAAGGCTCATTTGATGCGAGAGCTGAGCCATGTTCAAAACCATGGGGGAGAAGGCATCATGCTTCGTGCTCCACGATCGCGTTACGAGTTCAAGAGGTCGAAGACACTTCTCAAGGTCAAGACATTTTTCGATGAAGAGGCTATTGTAGTGGCTCAGGTCAAGGGTTCAGGCAAAAATTCTCATAGAATGGGCCATCTTCAAGTCAAGACACCCGATGGTCGCTGCTTCTCCGTCGGCTCGGGATTTACGGACGCTCAACGAGAGCGGCCTCCTAAAGTTGGCGCCATTATTACCTACAAATTCCAAGAATTGAGCAACAAACTCATCCCTCGTTTTCCAACCTTTTTGGGCGAACGAATCGATATTAAATGGGTTGAATATTGCAAAACGTATAAGCCCCCAACACTCAAGACAGCTACACCTGCCAAGGTAGTTTCGCTCCTGAAGCAAAATAGTTTGATTTTTCAAAACAACGAAGATGATGACAATGTTGGATCGGACAGCACAAAGGCTTTCCTTGACAACGCGGATAGCGATAATAATATCAATGCTGATGACGATGACATTAGTTGCGATGCGGAATCAAGTGATTCTCCCGACGAGCCCGAATCTTCCTCATCGTCTTCGTCTCCTCCATATCCTTCTGCTGGAATCACAGACTCGACGGCCAACAGGAAGCGGAAACTGGAACAAGCTCAACAGTCCAAGTCAGATAGTGGTAATGATAACAGCAGCAGTAGCGCTGTTACTACTACTATTACAGCTATCACAACCACTACGACTCAGATAGTTTGTCGCTATGGAACCAATTGCTACCGCAAGAATCCGGATCATCTCAAGAAATACAGTCATCCATCAAAACGTATTAAAGTATGAAGGGATCCCACTCCCAAAATCTCTTAATTCTCCTAATATCATAAATAAAAATAACTGAGCCATGAATATCCTTGCATAAGCAAACTAGCAAGATGGTTCTTAATAATTATTTGGAAGAGCCTAAGATTGTTTTTGTCCTAGTTGATTAGTAGTCCAGAGGAGATTGTTAGGGACCCTCAATTCATTTATGGAGAGGCTGATCCAATTACAATGCTCCTCATAATAGATATCCTCGTACTTTTGTATCTTTCTGTTTCTTCCTACTTTTTTATCTCTATTATTTTATCATTCCCCTTCTTTTCATTTGTATCTTCTCAGTTCTTTGAAGTGATTTCCTTCCTTTCTCTTCTTTCCTCTTCCCTCGGGACTCCAGGAACTTGCTGCTGCTTTTCCTCCTCCTCTAACGTCCTCTTTCCATCAAGTAGCTTCTCGTCAGTATAGCCGACTCATATCTATACACATTGGTCCCTTCTCGCCTAACGGAGCAGATTTTTGGATCGAATCGGTGTCAGAGGCCGTGGAGCTGCGTTTGAGGAGCTTGGGCCGATAGCCACTTGACTTCATGGAGTTATAGTCGGCTACAGCACCGATTTGACCTCTTCCATATCCAAATATATGTCTATCTCTTCAATTTTTAGGCTGGCCTCGTGAGCCTTGATGCCTGGATAAAAAAAAGCGCGCACCTACGTCGAAAAGCGGATCAGAATTGAAGTATAATCCTCCTCTTGTCAATACCTCGACGGTTTCGGATATGGATCCCCTGGCTAAATTCGAAGCAACAGCTGAAGAGGTCCTTAGTAGGCATCGCTGTCATTTGCCGAGTGCTAACTCCAAGCAACTGACTGCTCTTGTGGGGCCGTAAACATGCTTCTATCTGGGATCCAGAGCCAGATGAGTCCGATGTATGAATGCTTGAATTATATGTGCTCTGAGGTTGCTCCGCCTGCTGCCTCTCCAATATGCTGAGGCTGGGTGCGATCCTATTTTCGCGACCTAGCGGTTGCCAGCGAGAGTGAGAGCGAGAGAGAGGGATGATATTGGCAACCTTTTGGTGTGTGTGAATTGGACAGTCGACAAAATATAGGCACACAGAAACACAGATTACAAGATGATATACGAAACTACAACAACAGAAGCGAGATATGTATACCGACGCGTTTGCATGTCTTTCCTAGGGATTTGTTATAGCCGTGGCGAAGGCGTCTGCATGATTGTAGAGTGGTCACCGAAATAAAGTTTGTTTATTTCTTCTGGGGGCTCCATCAGAAAATACTTATGCTATGGCTCCAGTTTGATTCGAATAGTCTAGAAATTAAAAAAACGTCGCCATGCAAAATGTGAGATGCCTTGTGTTTCTTCATGCACAGAAAGCAAAGAGACACACCTCAACTAGTCTTGTGCATGTTCGTGTAACGGAAACAAATAAAGATTTGCACAAAAAAAATTTCTCGCCCCGCTCCCATGCATGCAAATATTTCGAAACAATGGCATTATCCCTTCAACCATAATTAAGACAGATATGTCCTGTAACCTTAATCTCTCACAGTGTATTCTCGTTTTCTCAAAAAAAAAATTAGACGGGGTGGTATAACTCATCAATCCTTTTTTATCGTCATTTTTGCAAATCGGGCTCCAATATATTATTCTAAAATGATGATTGAATTAATTTTGTGGCTTATTGTGGTAGCGACGGGTTCATTTCAAGTAAACTAATTGACATTCGGAGGTTACTCAAAAAATACATACTTTATATGGCTGTGATGGCTAATATCTTTACATTGATCTACTGCAGACTTTTTACAGGACAAATGTCTCCTCCAAACCTTATGGTCGAAGGGATAGTCAACAAAAAGCATCTAAATTGTTTGGTCAATGCTCTCCTCATGTTCACATAAATACGTTTTTCACTGTTAACGTGTTTGTTTTGTCTAGAAAACCCACATCCATAAAAAAAAAACGAGTCTGATAACAGCATACTATGCATGAAAGATGGAACCTTGACACCATGGCTATTGTTATATTCAACTCATGCAGACTCCCCAAATCAACTTGTGATCACAACTGCTACTTGAACGCATGGACTCTATTGACATACTGACATGAATCTTTCGATCATGCTCTGTTGCCAAGAACTTGAAAAGAGGTATATAGATCCATTCCTCCTCGCATTGAACTCCTCTCAATTCCGCCCACATTCTCTCAACACAATCTACATCCACAACACTCGAATCACGCACAAACATTCCACCGCTCACTCGAACATATTACCATGAGCATGATATGTTGAAATGGTCCCCTATGCCTCCAACAGCCCCTATAAATCTTATTAGCAGTGTTTACCAAACCAGATATCCCAAGAGAATGCAAGGAGATGAGGAAGCAGTGGATGCGACAAATCAAGCCTCGCTGTGTTGTATAGGAAAAGATCAAGCCTCATGGTACGGTAGAATGGATCAATCCATATTGCCCTCCTTCCAAGTCGATACCACGGCGACGAATATTATCATAACTATATAAAAACTAAGCCTCCAAACGGACGCTGGGATTATGTGTAAGTCTTCATGAGTTTTCTTTTTGCATAAAAGAAGCCAGGTTAGTTTCGCAGTTGGTGCCTACATAGTATTCACAGCTTTGCTAACCTATTTTAATAAATAGGATAACGGGAAATAGTCAGGATTGTGACGCGTTCTCTTCCTTACATTCAATTTACTCTATTTATGCTTTATAATAGTTGGATGGCATTTCTTCTGGGTCAAATTGAAATATAATAAAGATTATAAAAAATAATGAGTACATGTAAGTATGTGCATGGATTTCTGGAAAAGCAATAAAATATATTAACATATTTAGTAGCTATGAAGGGAATATGCTAAGGGAGACAACAACACCTTATATCTGCCTTTTCCCTGAATGACATCGCATGAAGTGCAAAGCAGGCGACAGCTCAACGGCTGTGGTCGGAAGGACATAGCATATAGTACAGCGATATTAGGGACTTTTGTGATAACCAAAAACTTCGATTATACCAACATACAGCTTAAAAAAAAAAAAAAGGCGCATGTTGCCTACTGCATACCTTTTTTTCCTCATTTTTCTCATCACCTGCTTGATCTTCAGTATGCACGCTCAAAACTAATTGCGCTGCAGTAGCATCTTCGTCTTCTTTACCTGCTGCAAGAACATTAAACACAGTGCATTATGATCTGGACTGACGGATTTTCAACATGGAGACTCAAAGATCCATTCATATGACGAAAGGCCACCGTTTGTCGTTTCTCTCCCCTTTACACTCCTACTTGCACCCTAATATCTGGCTGCTCTTCCCTTCTTGCTTTTACTTGAGATCATTCAATTTTTTCATATACACCAATACCTAAATTCAGTCTTTTGTTATCTGTCCATATCGCAACGCTATTCAACATTCCCCATCGCCAGCAATAGTATTGTTCATCCCATGTTTCGCCTTGTTAATAGGCGTTTAGCCGCTAACCGTGAGCTTGAGAGCTTGAAGCAGGAGTTTAATCAATGTTCACTCCCCACGGAGTTCGTCTACAGGATTGTAGTGTCATGTGTGGATGAAATCTTAGATAGAGGGCTCAATCATCCTTTTATACTCAAGAACCCATACCCTGCCTCTGTCGTCGCAGGGATGATCACCTTGATGGCTGACCCTGAGCGACGGGATCTGTTTTCACTCAAGTGTATGAGGATCGACACTGTCGCAGGCGTCATGCTCACAGCCCTCAAGAACCTCCGAGAGGCCATTGTCCCTAGAGAGATTCAGGATGAGTTGACTTCAAGTAATTATTTATTATTATTGCTGCTATACTCAATAATGATATGAATATATCTTTGCAAGGATTTGGTCTTCCCGCAGAGCATTCACTTTTCCTTCCTCTACCCTTCTTATGAAACCCCTCTAGTGCCAACAACACCAACAACTAGCAACCAGAGTATAAACAAGATCAGCACAGTCAACTCATTACTTAACCATCCCAGCTTCCCATCTGTGAACAAAGCCTTATTAATGGAGCTATTGAATCTGTCGCTCGCAATTCTCAATCGGTCTAGCTTTAATCGAATCAAACCAGACATGTTGGCTTCGATTCTCGGCCCTCATATCTTTACTACACAACATGCTACCATCTTACAGCACACCCCACAGCAGGCTTACTCCTTTGGATGGGGTGTCGCGCTCGTCAACGACATTAAGCGCTGCTCAAAAATGTTTTATGTTCTACTAGGCGGATACAGACGCGAAGTCTTGGGTAGCGTGGAGGACTGCTTCTGGGAATATGATCCAGGGATGGCAATGAACTCAGGTGGCACGCCCTTGCCTGCACCCCTATCCGATGGCAGTGTGGGCCATTGGCTTGGGTCGACAGCAACTATTCATGTTGGCGGACTGAGAAGAGCCTCTTCTTCAAGCTTGGACATAATTGATAATCATGGAACACATTCTAGCCAAAAAAACCGCCAAGAATTCTATCAAAGTGTGCCTCAGCTCCTTCCTGTACCGAACTGCTCCTCCAGCGCCAGCAGCAATAACGCTAGCTATTTATATGTCCCTGGCTCTGCTGCACGGCCATCTCTATCTCGCTATAGCATGGTCGGTAATATATCCACGACTCTCTCCGAATCCATCCGCGCTGCTGCTGCTAAAGAGGCAAATCACTGGAATACTAGCAAAAAAAATTCCGAGTCCAAAGGCCCAGCAGCATTAGTGCATTTGCGAGAGCCAAGGCACACCAACAACAACAGGAAGCAATATTATAGATCACAAGGAATAGTGACGACCGTGGAGCAACGTCAGCAAGAGCTATTTCAACGGCGATTTGAAGAGAAGCATAGGACCGGCTTCGATGATGCTGCCATAGACAATAGAGATAGTTCTGAGTTGGGTAATCTATTCCGTCGCTACAATATTCAGAACGAGACCGTTGGAGATATGACATGGAGACGCGAAGAGAAAAGACAGGAGATTGAACGTATGATCCGAGATTGCCGTGGCACTGGGTTGATTTTTGAGACGAGGCGGAGTGATGACGCGATGTCACGTTCTTAGAAGTTAGACAAAAAACAATAATAATAGGAATAGTAAAAAGTATATGAGATGTAGAGCTTTTCCCAAATGCTTAAACAGAACATTAATACATCAATGGCTAAACTTTTATTCTAAAGGTCAAACTGAGCTTCTAATTTTGAAACCAGTCATCCTCCGAGATAAAAGGTGTTAGAAATGCAGGAAAAGGCTGTAAGATAGATAAGGGAATGAAAATGAGGGCGGAAGCGAAGATGAGGCCACCGCTGATGGTAATCGCGTTGGCGAGACTGAACCTAATAAAACAAATACCGGGTCTCCCCATTCCCTTAATGGGTTTAATCCACTCCGGGAGTAAGATAAAAACCGTTACTAGCCTTTACAAAGAACTTGGATACGGAAAATCCTGACGTTAAAGCGTTTACGACGTTATCCACCTGTCGTTGCGTATATCTAGAATATTGCACAAATGTAAGCCCACTCGATTGTAAAAACTATGACTTTTATTTTTTTCAAAATTGCGCTACCGTAACATCTGTTCATGCTATGCTTCATTTGGCTCGGCTACTTCCATGGGATCATCCATGTTCTGAACAGTAATAGGTGGTGTACTGACAAAATGTCCCTCGTGCATGAATCCACCTCCGTTTTCGACCTCACGAACTTCATTACCAGCTTTAGTCATATCACTTAGCCCATGCTTCTGCTTTCTGTTAAGACTCAGACGTCGTGTAACCTCTGCAAAGGGCTTGTCCTTGGGCAATTCGGTCAATGCTTCCAACTTGAACCCTTCACCCAATTGAGGCCCTGATGCGAAAGAGCTAGTCCTGCTTCGGCTTCTGGATCGAGAGCCATCCACAGAGGGTGTCCATGCGCCCCAGGAAGATGTCCTTGACCGACCTTGGATTGCCCCTGCGGGGTTTAGGAAGAAGAACACATCATCGGCGTCTGAATCATCGGCACGCTCCCATTCAAAGCGACCATCAATACCCAACCATTGATTAATCGGTTGTGCAGCTGTGTTCATAGTGTTGAAGATAGTTTGAGCCAAATTGGTGCCTGAAGCCGACCGAGAGGCTGCACGGCTTGGACGATCGTTAGGCGAAGGGTCCAAGATGCGCTTGGAATCAAAGTCAGGGTAAATTTCTGGTGCAAGTTCATTAATGAGTTGGTTGATAGTCTTTTGCAACTCTGCGCGAGACTTGCGGAGCTCATTGATTGTGTTTTCTTCGCCTGGAATGATGGACAGAAACAAAGGTCGTATAGATTTGAAGATATCAATACCAACCTCGCCGAAGCGAATGCTGGCATATGTCACAAATGGAATACATGCCCAGGCTGCCCAAGCAATTAAAAGTCGAGTTGTCAATGAAATATTGTACCGTCCACAGAAAATAAAGACGATGACAGAGTATGAGAAATAAAGCACAGGCATCAATCCCAATGCGACCAATAATTTCCACGTTGCCAGTACATCTCTTCCTGCAATCTTGACTGTAGATGCCGCCAATGCCTCTGTTCAGATTTGGAGCGGAAAGAAAAGAAGGAGAAAAAAGAAAAAAAAATTAATTTTACGGATTTGCAATCCCAACTTGATCAATGACCTTGTATCGAATAAGTTCATACCTTTTGCTTTTTTATTACTGATGATGCGTGCGACGATAGCAACAGGAAGGTTCATGAGGGCTCTATGGATTATGGAAAAGCCAAATAAAAGAATTAAATGTAATTTCAAGACATCCGAATTTGTTAATATTAAGAGTTTTTTTAGATTAAAAGGATGGAGAAGGAAAGAAGAAAGAAGAAAAAAAAAAAAAAAAACTTACCCTGGAAGCGCCAGAATACTCAAAAAGACCATTTGAGCGATACGAGAGATTAAGAGTTCGATAGCATGTCTTCTGGTAGTATAGATGTTGACTTGATGATCGCGAAGTCCATGGTAACGGAGCTGTGTGTTGTAATGCATGACCTTGTCCTTGGTTTCAATGACCTTAGGATTGTCTTTAAAATGCAAGTATCCAGCAACAAAGCGGCGATTAAGCTCCACAACCTGAGAGATCTGTAGCTTCCGATGTGTTGGTTTGTACAGGCGGCGAGCAGCTTGAATAACCTAAGGATAGCATTTATAGAAAAGAAACAATGTTCATATCAATCAATCCGACTTGATATCTCTTCAACTTTTGGCACCATCACTAACTGCCATAGCTTTAAGAGCTCAGCGAGATTTACCATTAAAGTTTCATAATCTGGGGCATTGAGGGTAACATTCTTCAGGGTATCATAAATCGTATCAAGGAGTTTTCCACAGGCTTCACGCTTATCAGCACCACCCTTTCTATATTTTTCAACCAACTCTGGAGGTACTGTCAATGGATCACTAAACTCAACGACAGCACGAGAGCGGAAGCGATGAGGATGAAAGTAGTTCAAGCCACAGCAAACAATTTTGAGATCCAAGGACGGATTAGCAGCTAAAGCACCCAGAGCCATGATCGTAACACCAGCTAAAAAAAAAAAAAAAAAAAAAAAAAAAAGGCGACATCAGCAGTGAGAGCAGAACTGGTTGAATCTTTTTGTTTTTTTTTTTACCTTTAAGGGGTAGCATTTCGGCACGGTCATGCGAGCCTCCTTCAGGAAAGATACCGACACAATGACCAGCATTGAGACGTTCAAAAACAGTTTTGTACACATTAGACTGGTCCATATGAGGCAGGCACTTGTATTTGGCGCCCTCTGCACTGGTCAACAGCTCAAGGGCTTTGAGTTCTTTAAATTCCTTCTTAATGATCAGCTCTGTGTCTGAAATGATCTCAACGACTGCAGAAGTCCCCACATCCTTGGGCAGAGTGATCTGATCTCCCACCATGAGCTCCTTTGTAAACTTGGTTCCAACCCCTGTGATGCGAAGAGGATCGCCATAACGATCCAGTAGCTTGATAGTTCCAGAACCAGCCTTTGCTAAGTCCTGTGGGCGCTCAACCGGAACTATTTTTTTTTTTTTTTTTTTTGTACAAAGAAAGGTTTACTGCGTTTAGTGAAGGTGTGACAAAGATCATGAGCAAAGACAATGGTCAAAGCACACACGGACGGAACTATGCGACATGGGTATCATGTTGAAAAAATAAAAAATAAAAAGGGAAATCAATAAGTACGGCAACAAATGCCTCCTTATAGCATATTGACCATAGTTGTGAAGATACACTATTTATGCATGTCAAAGTAAAGAAAGCTCCACGCCAGGCCTGGTCTGATGATTGTAGCGAGCGACTATAGACCCAAAACTCTGATCCAACCAAAATTATGCAAGTTAAGCGGACCGAATAAAAACTATTTCTATCAGCCGTTTTGTCATTTCCATGCATGACAAAGCATCGAGAAAAACAGCAAAAAAAGACAGCTGGCGCCAGCTTTCACGAGCCAAACCACCTTGAATAAAAGGAAATCAACAATAAGATGTAGAGATATAAATGAAAATGTAGGCACAAATACATATGTGAAATGCCCATATCAGCACTATTTCCCACGTTTCTTTTTGGTCCCTCAACAAACTAAATTTTTTTGTTTCTCCACAGAAAAGAAATAAACAATAGGCGCAATGGTTGAATTTGGTGGGTAGACTGCATATACATTACTGACTTTTATCTTTTCTCTCCCTCCACTGGACCTGGAACTTTTTTTTTTTTTTTTTTTTCTTTCGCCTTTCTCGCTTTTTCTAGATAAAAGATGAAAATATAGGTTCAGAACGTACTTGCATTCATAGCGCGAGCCATAGCTCCGATCCAACGGCGGTCCATTGATTTTTTGGCGGCCAAAAACGATACTCGACGACCACATTCGCGCATTAGTATAACGGGATCGACAAACTATTATTGTTTTGATGTGATTGTAAAGATAAGTCATCAACAAGAAAAAGAACAGCTCAAATGGTTTGGTTTGGATTGATCTTTAGAATACCTGGTTGGCATGAGGAGCGGCGACAAAAATAACAGGGCCCTGACGAGGTACTTTATGCGCCCCTCGCGGACGAATTTCTCTGAAGAAGATATCAAGAATGAGTGTGAAGAAGAACGACACAAAGTCGTAGATCTGGAGACTCATAGTGGGTTTCTCTTTGCCTCTTTCTTTTCTTGGGATAGGAGGATGAAGGATGTTGAGCAATAATATGTATGGATATGGAATATGGATATGGGATATTATCGAATTGAGTTATGGGTGAATGAAGATTGAATGAATGAATGAACAAGTTGCTGGGAATGAGATGTAATATAAACAATGAGTTGAAAGAAAGAGACAGGAGGATGCAAAATGTGTGCTTTGTTTATGCAAGAGGAAAGAAAGAGGAAGGAAAAGAGAGACACGATGCACTGGCACTTCTGGTTTTTATATGGATTGCATTAAAAGCATTTTAAGAAATATATTGAATGAGAACAGTTGGATGAGCACCGCTCGCACGCCATTTCTTGCTTTACTCCATGGCTCACTTTCATTAATTCTACTTATTTTATTATTTAAGTTTTTATGTGATTCTACGGCGTATTCACTTTTACTCATCATGGCCACTGCTACTGCTACTGCTCCTGCTACTGCTCCTGCTACAACTTCTATCACCACCGAGATCTGCGGAGTAGACTCTGATTTCATGTCATATTCAGGTACACATTATTGCACGCGTTTATGACATACTCCTGTCCATAATTGTCCATGGGACATGTGTCTGCTCCTTATTAAACACTCCTGTACTCTATTTCTCACCCTTTTTTTAAAGAAAAGGCCAATGATTGTATAGAGCCGTTTCTACGTATCTCAACTGATCCTCGCTTTGGGTCAAGTTCTTCTATTGCAGCTGTCAATTGTTTAAATCTACCGGTTATGTTCATCACAACAGTGTCAAGATAACCGTGCACATGCATTATTCTATTTCTTACACATTATGATCATGCTGAGACTGAAGCCCCGGCTCTCACACTTTTTTTTTTTTACATAATTCATTCACAGCCAAAGAAATAAATATATAAATATGTAAAATAAAAGCACTTTCACATGGTATATATATATATATATATATTCATACCAGCACACTCTCGCTTTTTTTCTTTTCTTCTTCATCAATCAATTCACTTTCTTCTACCAAAAAAAAAAAAAAAAAAAAAAGCAATACATACTCCTTTTTATCTGGTCTTGGATTATGAGAGCGGTATACTATACCAGTGAAAACCACGAATGTGCGTCGCCTGTTGTCTTTCTCATCTCCGAGTTGTTAATGTTTGTCTTCAATCGTTGTAGACTTTCCCTTGGCCTATCAAGCTCTTTTAGTTTTTGAATTGCATTATCTTTAATCGAATCTGAGTACAAAATACATGATTATCTTTTTTTTTTTTTTTTTTTTTTTTTTGGATAAATATGTTCTTATCCGGGTCGATCGCGTGCATTCCTTTCTTGCTCACTTCACAACCACGATTGTTTTTGTCATCATTCTTCTCGTTCTGAAGGATCACATTATCATGTGCACGTGCAAAAGTCATGAAACGATAGCACCCTGTTTGATCAACATTGGAGTCTAAACTCTTCATCTGTATAACTTGTATTTGCTATGGATATTCTCAACCTCATCCGCATATTTCTAAATAGACACAATAAATAAATAACAAAAAGAACGGTCAACTTTAGTCTTTTCCTATCCATTGGTCCGTGCTTCTATTAGGGCTGATGCCCGAAAATAGAGAATCATTATTGTAAAAAAAAAGTACAAAGCATCCTATCCACCATCAACACTGATCACAGCATTCACTAAAAAAATAAAAAAGGGCGATTATTGTTATTATTATTATTGTTATTGTTATTATTATTATTGTTATTATTATTGTTATTGTTATTATTATTGTTATTGTTATTATTATTGTTATTATTATTATTGTTATTATTATTATTGTTATTATTATTATTATTATTGTTGTTGTTGTTGTTGTTATTGTTATTGTTATTATTATTATTATTACAATTATTATTACTATTATTATTTGACTAGAAACATTGTTAAGCATTCTTTAGCTCCTACTTTACGACAGGAGTTAAATGATTCTTGGAAAACAGAGAAAGGGGTTCAGAGACAAAGACATGGATAAGATATACAAATATGAAGATATGAAGCATCCGCTCATAATGGATTCAAGGAACAAGATAAAAGGAATGTAAAAGAAGAGTGAGCAAGGGACCTCACTTGATTCAACCTCCAGAAAGTCCTTTCTTGATCAAATTTAGAAAAGATAGATAGCTGGCTGGTGTAGAAAGCGTATGAGAAAGTCGATTCGGTAGGATACATTATGTACACATCAGCAAAATGAATATTACATGGTTTTTTTGCCAATCACTTTTTAATTTCTCTTTGTAGCCCATAACACTAGCCAACACTGTACACTTGTTAGTGAACTTATCCTTCTTTTCCGACAGCAAAGGAAAGCATGGACCTTGGGTAACCTTGGGACGGGCCAGAGAAGAGTCATAAGTACGAATAATGAGCCAGAGATCTTCGTCATCTTGGCTATGCGCAGTATTGCGACACATGTTCTCAAAAAGAGACCAAATCAATAAAATGAAATGACAACGAGTAACAATAACAAAGCATGAGCATGGGCCGATGCATAGTCAATACCTCCATATCACCATTTCATGTATAGAAATGTACGCCGTGGATGATCTACAACATTTGCAAACGTGCAAACGAGGTTGCCTCTCTTAATTCTGGTTCTTTGTTTGCTTCCACACGCTTCTGTTTTAATCCACAGCATACTTTCCTTTTGTTACAACTCAAGTCTATGTGCTTGTTCCTGGCATCGCATTTGCTCATTCTTTTTTCTTCCCCTCTTTTCTTCTTTTCTACTCTCTCTCTCTTTTTTTTTCCTCTCTTTCCTTTGCTTCATCTGTTCTTTTACGCTCTCTTCCTTTTAACTCAACATTGATCTAGACACAAATAGGAATCAAGGACACATTAAGCATTATATACACACCTCCTATCTGCTCCCTTCCTTCTTTGTTCCTTTACTTTTTTTTTTTTTTTTTTTTTTCGTATTTCTCATCAGTCAATCTGATACCTGGCAATCAACCCCATCTCCTCGCAATCTGTCCAATCGAGTAACAATATCGATTCTTTTTTGTATTTTTACCACTCTTGTAAACCACACTCGCTCTTTACATCTATCCACCTCTTCCGTCATTCCTATACTGTTTCGACTGCATACAAACCTATGCACCATCTATTACTCATCAATCCTTCATCCTAAAACAACGTCATCATATTTTTGTCCTCTTCCCCTCCCTTGCAGGCAACAATAACAGAACTTGCTTGTCTTGCCTGCACAACTGATCTCACATCTCAGCAACTGCAATTACTCCTCTTTTGATCCCTGCCCTTTTCATTGTCTTTTGTCTTCTACCTCAATTCGTAATAATAACATCCATTATGGGCTTGAGCCTTATTGGGATCCTCAAAGTGTCGCTCTGGCTACAGACGGTAGGCTCATAATTTTGTTTAGATCAGCAGTGTTTAAAAAGCGAAACTACGCCACGGAGATTTTGTTTATTGCAAAATGTTATAAAACATGGATAAATTTCCTTGTCCTTCATGCTTACGAGACTAAAATTGATGAAAATTACCCGCCATTTAAATCCATCTTATTTTGTTATATACTCTGATCCCTACTTCTTTACAACTCCTCCCCTCTTTATGACTCTCCATGACTCTTAATGGATCTATCCAGGGATCATTGTTAGCCTTGACCTATTTGCTGGTTGACTCCGGTGCATGGATAGGAGCTGGATTGACGGCCATTGGCCTATGTTTTGTAGTCATTGGCGTCAGTGCCGCACATATCAGGAGTTTAGGATACCTCTATTGTGTAAGCTAATTTCTCTTTCCCGCGTTTGTTTCGTCTTTTTTATTCTGTAGTACAAAGAATTTACCTCTGCCTCCCCTTTTTTTACTCTAATTACTAATAATTCCATAGTATGCAGCACTACTAAGCATCTGGGCATTCTTGGCTGTCCTCCACGTTATAATAATTCTAGGCCTGATTACCATATCAAAGAACTTGATCAGCCCAGTCTTATTAGTGGGTCAAAAGATCATCGAGAATGCTTCACATCCCTTCAAGACCGCTGTTTCCGCATTCTATGGGGTCCATGCAGTTTCTTGCTGTATCTCCATAATGTGTATTATTTGCTTACGCGTGGCAACCATCGATCCGGTTAGTAAATTCGACATTCAAAACCCTAAGGGAAGACTCGAAAGCATTCGTCATAGCCTTCATCATCATTCATTGGGACAAATTGATGGTAGCAACAGCAATAGTAGCAGTAACAGCAACATTACCAGCCGCTGCAACAAGGGGATCAGCCAATTAAGCCAACGTCTCCTCGGGTTGGGGCAAGCAGCCGTCGCTCCACTCGAGAGCACGAACACTGGACAGGATAAGCCAAGGGAGTTTGCTAACATGCATGAACCACATTACCAGGAGCGGCCTCCAAGTTGCAAAGTACGAGAGCCTCAACATGGACATGAGAAAGACAGAAGGACATTGAGCATGGACAGCAATGTTAGTCATCTTCCACAAGAGGAAAGAGTACCCCAGATTGTGATCACACTTGAGGATGATGGTGCTTGTGAGTTCTTGTCCAACAGGGCTCCTAATACTGCTGCAGCCCCTCTATCGATAGAGCTGAAATCAGACACCACCAACAGAGACATAACCATCTATATACCGGACCAACATTACGATTTAGGAAACTCGTTGTTAGAAGGATCGAGCAAGCCCTCAGATACCATTCACGAAACCATTCAATCAGGAAAATCAGTGAAGACAACACCTAAGGATGATGTATACATAGGCTCCGCAGAACAACCCTTGACCAAAATCAAAAGCGACAAACTTGAGCACATAATCGAGGGTTTCGAATATATATCTCCTGGATTATCAAACATCACAACATTGGATGGTATACCAAGGCAGAACCAAGTACAAAATTATCAATGTCTTCACAATGACTATGAATTTCCTTCGAGCAAGTCATATATACCGGTTTTGGACTCCGGGACATCAACTGAGACTGAAATGCCTACGAATTTACAGCAAAGGCGGCAGTTGCAACAGAAAAACCAGGAATTGAATCAGCAAAAAAGCATCCGAACTTCTCATGGAAACGAAAGTAGCTACACTTTAAAGCCTTCATCACGCCCTGCTACCCCTATACGCCAGTCCTCCATAAGCCAGCAGCGACTTTACAAGATCGGAGAAGATGATGAAATCGAATTTGATACCGAAGATCGTAGCCAAAATTATAATCGTCGCATTTGTGGTCAGAGACCAGCGATCCAAGTAAATTTCACAGATACCCATATTTACTTGATAAACAATGGGAGAAACGGTGATAATGTGGAACTTCCGCAAAGTACGAACGAACAAAGGCTCGACATCATTCCATTGCAATATCGGCAGGAAAGAATCAATGGAGACTACACCTTTACAGAGAATGAGATCATTCCAATCACTAGTATTAAAGGACGGGATTCGATGGCTAGTAGCACTTCCGGCCTTGCCAACATTGCTAGCATGTTTTCAAAGACAAAGAAGCAAGGGCCAGCAAATGTCTGTAACAGCAGCAGCAGCAGCAACAGGAAGCCCCTCGGCACTTTTGTGATCCCGACTATTATAATATACCCAGATGAAGAAGAAAACAAGGCAGCCCGTGTACTTTCAGAAAGGGATATTGAATACCTGTCGATGATGCCACCAGTACCGTTGCGGCCATTAATTCAGCCATGGGAGGACGCGGGGCATGATAACGACCATTATGATGAAGCTGCGGATGATGGCTATAGTATTGAAGAATATGATATGTATGGACATGAAAAAAGTAGAATAGAGCTTGATAATGAGAACGAGCTTCGCCAACAGCGTCAACAGCAGCGCCAACAAGAGTATCAACATCATCATCAACGGCTCCAGGAACATGCGACTATCGATGGAGAGTTTGATCCATATGCATTAGATGTTCCTATAAATTTGGAGATAGACCTTAATGGATTGACTCATGGAGACATGATCACAACTCTCTAAAATAAAAAAATAAAAATAAGAAATAAAAAGTAATGATAAGAGTAATGGTAAGAGTAATGATAGGAGTAATAAGTTCGTTGTCGCTATAGCGATGCAAGGGTGTGGAATGATGGTGTATAGTTTATTCATATATCCAGTCACGGAACGACGATATCACTCCCCTGTGTCCGTACCGAGAAACTCTACGCAAACCAGAATCGGATGAGATGCTTAGCTCAAACCGGTAGATTTAAAGGATGATGAGTGCACTACGCTAGAAATAATCTCACTTTTTACAGACGATTCGGGCAGTTGTCAAGTAATTTGCATGCATTAGAGACCATTTTAATTATATACTTGATAAATTTTTATTTCCTGTTTCTGAAATATCCAATCAGGGGGCCCCTGCCTAGAAAGTGACGTTTGTTCACGCATGCCCAGGAACACACATGACCCTGCACATTCATTTACCCATTCTTTTCTAAACAGCCCACACAACCTCCGTTTTCTTTCATTTATCGCTTAACCTGACTGACTAACCGACTGACAAGTAAGAGGGAGAAGTATACAGATTCAGGACAACAAAAAGGAAGGATTCCTTTGATAATTACTTTTTACAACTTCAATCTTACGACTACACCACTACATCAACAACACCTTCAGTCATTAGTGCTTGTCGTGTGTCGCCATGGCTGACTTCCTTGCTGTAAGCCTACATTTGTACATATAATGATGGAGAGACGTAAAGCAGAAAAAAGGGCATTCGTATATTTACATCGAACGATTCTACTTCTTTCATTTATATACCATACTTCTTGATGAAAAGCGTGCTGTCGAAACTGTGAAGCGGGCTACTGAAGAGGACACAAAGGGCCATCTTGAGGAGGCTCTACCATTGTATCAGACAGCGCTTGAATACTTTTTGACTGCCCTTAAATGTAAGTGTACAGACTATAACATAGCTAAAGCTGGGTCAAGCAACAGCCAAAGCAAGCGGGAAAAAAAACAAAAAAAAAAAAAAAAAAAAAGTATATTTATGCGTGGCTAGGTCTTTTATGGTTGCCCGTTGTAGCTTCTTACTCTACATTGAGATCCATCAGTGACAAGCAGGCAGAGAAGGAGAATGGAATGAAATTAACGATAATATTCATGAATGTGTACTTGTCAACTTATAGATGAGAAGAATGAACGTGTGCGTGATACAGTCAGGAAAAAGGTTATCGAGTATATGGCAAGGGCTGAAAGTATCAAAGAGCACTTGGCGAAACTGGAAGAGAAACCCAAAAAGAAGGCCATGGCTAATTCATCCAATGGTCAGGGCTCAAAGTACGTATTTTTTTTTTACAGTGAAGTCTGAACGTATGGATGAAAATTCACCTCAAGTTATACCTTTGTCGCATGAGAGCACACTTCCTCTGGTTAGACAGGAATAAGGACCGACTGGACTACTTTTTCTGTTTCAAATACTTATTTTTACATTGATTACATTGGAATTGTTTTTTTTTTTTTTTTTTTTTTTTTTTGTTACAGAAAAAAGGATAGCGATGATGACGATGATGAGGATGCAGATACCAAGAAGCTCAAAGGAGCGTTGACCTCTTCCATTCTGACAGAGAAGCCCAACGTCAAGTGGTCAGATGTCGCTGGTCTGGACGCTGCAAAAGAGTCTCTTAAGGAAGCCGTCATTCTTCCTATCAAGTTCCCGCATCTTTTTACTGGTACTACTCCTTTCTTTTTGTTCCTCACAGAGCTTATTTTGAATCTTCTTTGAGTTACTGCTTATTTAATACAATATGGCATGAAAATGCTAATAGGAAACCGCACGCCATGGAAGGGTATCTTATTGTATGGACCACCAGGTACTGGTAAATCATACTTGGCCAAGGCTGTCGCAACAGAAGCCAATTCAACTTTCTTCTCTATTTCCTCCTCGGACTTGGTCTCCAAGTGGATGGGAGAGTCTGAAAGGCAAGCTTTTCTTATTGTCAGCATGTGTCATCAAACGAAGTTCAACTATAATTACGAAAACATGGAGTTGGTGTCTTATTTTTTATTTTTATTTTTATTTTTATTTTATATTTGTCATAATATATAGGTTGGTCAAGCAGTTGTTTCGAATGGCAAGACAGAATAAGCCTGCAATTATCTTTATTGATGAAGTTGACTCTTTATGTGGATCACGAGGAGAAGGAGACTCGGAGGCATCTCGTCGTGTCAAGACAGAGTTCCTAGTGCAGATGAATGGTGTAGGTAATGATATGGAGGGTGTTTTGATTCTTGGTGCCACCAACATCCCATGGCAATTAGACTCTGCTATCCGTCGCAGGTATGTCAATTCTTTAATACGCCTTTTTTTGTTCATTTATTGGACATATATTAATCAGAACGTCTGTTTCCGGATGAATAGGTTTGAAAAGAGAATTTATATCCCATTACCTGATGCACATGCAAGGGCAAAGATGTTTGAACTCAATGTTGGCAAGACACCATGTCTTCTGACAGCACAGGATTTTCAACATTTGGGACAAATCACTGAAGGGTAATTTTTTGTCTTGTATATTACTTTATATGAATCATTGAGGTGAGTATTTTAATCAATTACTCCTTACACGTCGTTGTTTAAACAGGTATTCTGGGTCAGATATTGCAATTGCAGTACGCGATGCATTGATGATGCCAATCCGTAAAGTACAGATCAGCACCCATTTCAAATGGGTGGACGCACCGTCGCGTGCAGATCCTTCTAGGATGACCAAGCACCTAACACCGTGTTCACCAGGCGATCCAAATGCAATAGAGATGAGCTGGGAAGATGTGGAGGGTGATCAATTGCTGGAACCAACCTTGGGCATCCAAGACTTTTTGAAAGCCGTTAAATCCGTGCGCCCAACAGTCAGTGCAGATGATGTGGTGGAGCATACCAAGTTCACACTAGAGTTTGGAAGTGAAGGCTAAACATTCATGTTGAATCAGACGACGCAGACATTCATACAGAACCATCAGGGATTGTACATCTTTTTTTATTAGAAGACAGAGAGGGTACATGAATGTGATATACAATACTCTCTTGCACTCTCTTTCTCCTTCTCCATCTTTTGCCCCTATACATACACACCACGGTAGACCTAATAAAAACAGAGTGCTTCTGTTGATGGCTCTTTGTATATATCACATTTGCTGCACTGCCTCGTGGTAAAACATTTGGGTCATTTTGATGGGGACCGGGCGAAGCGGCTTCAATGATGCCAAAACAAAAAAAAAAGAAAGAAAGAATGAGCCCGCTGCAATTACAATTACAGTAAGAGGGCGAACAATTAAGGCGAAAAAATATTATGAGCAATAGGTACAGCCTCGCCTCTCTTCTTTCTCTTTTTCCTCTAACTTCTCCATCATTCATTCCCACATTCATTGTTCATATCATGCCAGGCACTCTCCCGCTGGGTAATTTTTTTTTGAAGTTGATTTGATTTGATTTGATGATTTGAATCGGATTAAATTAATTTACAACATAACGTACTTGCTTTTCAAACATTCATTTGGCTTCATCTTGTTTTGTCTGCACTGCACTTGTGCTATCAATTATTTTTGTAGAAATTGCTTCGTCGCTGCGTGTGGTTCTCGCTGGAGACACGGGCGTAGGCAAGACAAAAGCACGCGACTTGATTCTTAATACTGTCCCCGGACAGGTTCAGTCTACTCAGGAACCATCTGTATCTGATTTTATGACACTTTCGGCCCGGGATAATAATGGGTCAGATGAGGACGACAACGACTCTAATAGTGAACCAAGTATTAAAGGCAATAATGATACAGCTTGTGTGGTTAATAATGGACGGGTCTACAATGAAAGCCAGCATCTAGTTAGGGGTACAGTCAGTACCCTCGAAATCCCCAGATGGCTTTTTGTGTCAACAAAATCTTCGGCTGAAGGTGATGAACCTGAGGACGGCAACAACAATGGTGAAGGCGGAGGCGACAAACAGATGGATGGTGACGATGTCAAGATGGTGCCTGCAGAGAACGTTGTCGTGCATGACTTTGTTGGATATGGACAGACTTTGGATGCACGTGAAACTATTGACAGGGTTGATACCTTCTTGACAGAACAGTATGTCGCCACACTTGGTCTGTTTGGTAATGCTATCACTCCTCTTTCTACCGCCACTCGCCCTGGACCCCCCTCTGCCCAACAACCCCAATACTATCCCTTCCTTGAACGACTTCTTGTGGATTCCCCTATGGCACACTCACTGCCTGACGCATGTCTTTACTTCGTTTTGTATGATCTCAAGCCAGTTGACATTATTTTCATGAGACGAATTATGCATCACATCAATTTAATCCCCATCCTTGCCAAGGCTGACACCCTCTCTATTAATCAACTTTGGAAGTCCAAAGCCAGGCTTCTGAAACAGCTCCAAGACAATCAGATTGAGTTCTTTCGGTTTGGATACACTATTGAGGAGCTTCGAGAAATGGCAGATGAGAAAATGGTGGGAGGACCGCCTTTCGCATTGTCAACAACCGACCTAGAGGCTCAGCTTGTGGGACCCACTGCCACCGGCAGTCTCTCGGATCTGGCCAACTCAATCAACGAGGGCAAATTCTCGAAATCGCACTCGGATCTTGCATTGCTTCAATCATTGCTATTGGGGTCCAAAAACAGAATGCTACACCAGGCTTCAGTAGAGAAATTTATGAACCGCTGGAAATCCGATTTGGGATTGTCATTGGAGCAAGCAACCCCCGCTGTTGCTGCCACTGTGAGCACCATTGCAACTACTTCTACTGATTCTCCCCCTGAGATCAATACAGAAGAGAGGAAGGCAGCTCAACTACGACAGGAGAATGCTCAACCCTCTCCCCCTACTCCAGCGCCAGCGCAAGTACAGGAACAAGAGCAAACTCGAGGGTTGCAACAACATGAAACAATATCACAACCCGAACCACAGCCTATGCTACAACAACCAGCAGCTCCAGCTCCAGTCCAACAACAACAGCACGCCCCTGTCTTCCAACAGCCTTTATACATCCCGCAGCCTCATCACCATCCAGTTGCACAACGTCAGCTTCCCCCAGCGCTACAACAACAAACATATCAACCCACATCATCATATACCAGCTATATGGCACAGCAGTCGCAAACGAACCTGCTGTCGTCTATCCGGACTGGGTCAGCTGGAGGTTCGCCTGCAGGGGATGACGAAGTAGCGCAGGTAATTAAACTGAATCGGGCGCATAGCGTGATCCGCGCTGCATCTCCAACAACCAAAATATATACTCAAGGCAACATCATCCCTGCTATTCCCATCCCTGCTTCTTCACCATCACCACTCAACCACATGAACTCACCCGTCGCATCCAACGCCACACATAGCACTAGAGCTTCGGAATGATGAATAAAATTTAAAAATAAAAATAAAAAAAAAATCATCAATTAATTCAAAAGACCTTCGTCGTCCTTACTTGTAAACTAAATAATACCCAGTCATAAATTCTTTTCCTTCTTGAATTTCTATTTCGTGGAGATATCTTTCTTGCGAAATCTCCCATTTATTAAAAACGAACCGCAAGCCCCTGGCGAAGCCACGGTCGGCTCTTGTCTTGTCAGAAAATTTAATACTTTGCCTCGTTGAAAAAACAGTAAACAACAGAAGAATTATTGCGCTGAATACATGTCCATATTGGCTTGATGTGTAGAAACTGGATTTGAAAAGGAAAGGTGGCCAAATCCTTGTCAAGCAATGATAGCAAAAAATGCTTTTTTTGTTTTGTTTATCAGAGAATAGATTCAGACATACAGGTCTCTGGCATCAATGGGGAGATAGGAGGGGCGTTGTCGCTTGTATTTATTGCTTGGAGTGAAAACTACTTATTACCCTCTTCTTGCTGAACGGAGCCTTGTTGATAGTTTGTACAGCGCATTGTGAATGGACGGGTGAGTGAATCAGAGAGGTGGGTTTTGGCAGTTTTTTGGTGTGTATCTGCCATAATATTAGGTGAGATAAAACCAATGCTTTTTACATCAATCCTTGGGATTTGTTTTCGCCCTGGCGAGATTGGCGTCTGCATGATTGTAGAGTAGTCATAAAAAATTAAATGGTTTGCTTATTCTATTGGAGGAAAATGCTTTTTTTGTGTTTTGGCACTCTTTATTTCGAAATGTCAAAATAATATGCCTGCGTTGCGAGAAAATGCCATGTTTCTACATGTACAGAAAACAAAGAAACACTTTAACTGTCTGTTCAATTGCCTAGTGCATGCTCATATATATAGTAATTGATGAACAAAAAAGGAAACACAAAAAAAACCCCCGTTCCTAGGCTCGTTCCCAGCCCCTTCACTTTAGGTGACTCAAAAAGGAAATGGAATTTCCTGTCACCTTTATAAAGTGAAGAGGGATGGGTACGAGCCCTCTCTAGTCATATGTGACCTAAAAAGGAAACTGATATGTTTCCTGTCACATTTCAAACTAGAGAGGGCTGGGTCGAGCCTACGTTCCTTGATTGCCACCATGCATGTACCGCCATAGATTTTCAAAACAATAAAAAAAAAAAAACGCGATGCAAGATGGCATGTACAGACAACAAAGAAGCACATCAATTGTTTGATGGATGGTTTCGTCTTGTTCACATGCATACATTTTTTTATTATTAGCGCGCTAGTACGCCTATTAACCTTCTCAGCCGTTCAACAAAAGGAACCCCACGCCATAAAATAAAAGTGTCCCGCATGATTGATTCCAAGTCTGAAACCAGAAATGATCCACTTGCCATGAGTGAAATAGAGTTCTGATACTATAGCTATTATCATGTTCAACTGATGCGGGCTTTCTAGCATCAATCTGTGGTCACAACTGCTTTCTAAACGCGTGGATTCTATATTGATGTTATATTTGAAATTATAAACTGAGTTATTGACATCGATCTGTTGATTACTGTGTGCTGCCATGTATTTGAAAAGATACATAAATTCCTCTTCCTCGTATTGGATTTTCCTTACTGCCGCTCACCCCAGCATGCCTCCAGAATGCGCCATTTCAACCTGATTTCCAATGGCTCCAACAGGGCCTACAAGTCCGAGCTCATACCTAACGGATTTAAGTGCAACAGCAAACGTAACTGATCCTAGAAACAGCACTTTTACTAGCGTTTTTTTAAACCCGGCTCCATCTCTCGGAAAAGTGAACACTTAAAAACCTCTACACAAACTTGTTGAAATTGGTTTGAAAACCGAAGCTTCCATAGCACCTAACTACTCTCTAACGCAGTTTATTCCATCGACCCTTTTGAACTACTTCGTCGACAATATTTCAGCTTGTTCAATTAAGTTCCGCTTCACGCACACTACCCAGAGGTCACCACCCCAATCACGGTGCCCGAAATAAGCAGACCCCTACCCTACTTTCTCTCACAACAACCCAACGTCGACATATTCCTATTTTCGCCGCGAAGGAAAGCACGTAAATATACAATGGAACGCCCTACCCAAACTATTGATTCCTTCTAACTTATCGACTCGTACCTCCAAACCTACTGATATTTAGTATTCATCCCTGCGAGGCCAACACCCCCTAGTGTTGATGTGCAGCCCCCACGGGCATCTTAGCACCCTAGTAACGGTTATCTTAAAGCAGCGGAGCTCTGCACTGGTAAAAGAGTAACGGCACAACTAAAAAGCCAAAATGGGGACGTGACGAGGATGATGATGAAGGAAAAAGAAATATGAAGAGTCTGTAAACGTGACTACTGAGTAAATTATGAGATACAGATTACAGGCAGTCATTTAGGATATCAAGCTATCCATTTATCCATTGTTTAATGGTTGAATAATCAATAGTCTTGATGCAATCTACTACAAAGCCTTCGCGACCATAAGAAGTCGTAGGTTCCAAGAGGAAAAGATCAAGGATGGTTCCGTTAAACAACAGCTCAGCAAAGCCAAGAACGAGCTCCTTCACCAAAAACATCTTCCAAAGGGCCTGCTCGATTGAGCCGCTCCGATTCACCGCAGTTCTGTCCCCGCTATTGTCCTTATGGGAACATTAAGCGCCAGCTAGGAACTGTACAAACTAGTAAGGCCAGATGGAACAGCACAGTGGATTCTAACATGATACGATCTGGAACGGAGAGTTGAAAAAGCAGGTTGAATAAACCAAGGTGAAGCAGCAAGCAGAGATAGATGAAAGGAAGAGAAGGAAAGTAGAGAAGGGGAAGAAGAGAGGCATCAAAGGCAAAGTGTGAGCCGATGATTGGATGATGGCGATGGTGGGATGATCACGGTGATTAGTGCAAAGAACTTCATGCCTAAGGGCAATCATGCGTAAAAGTGGTGGGGGGATGACAGACTACCAGGAATCCTTGGCTCTTTTGGAGCTAGCGCAGGGAGTAATTACCGATATAGAGGAGGGAATCTCTATGCTGGCTCAAAAGGCCATATTCATCGTCAGTAACAGTTGATTAATGACATTGTGATGCATGACTTGAAGGCCTTTAAAGAGAAAAGAGGCACTCATCTCCACTTGCTTTATTCACTGTAGATTGCTAGTGGTGCCATTTGTGGCAACCAGATCAAATACAGGCCGTTAGCAGGGGTCGTTCCGGGCCCTTTCCACATCAGTGAACTCCTGCCAACTACCTTCCTCCAGGGACTCAGGCCAGTGTCAACATTATGCCTGTTACAGAGGCACTTCAATCGGTAGTCGAAGACTGTGTTGATAACGCGGTTCAGCAGGATAACTAGTTCAATTTTTTGGAGCAGCCGCATCTCCAAGCTCTTTAGATATATCCTCGGGTAGAATCTTCAATGTGGCGCTTACACCACATGGTGTGTCTAGATAGTGTTAGGGGATTTTGCTCTTTTTAGTGAGTTGTGAAGCCGGCCACTTCCAGTTACAGATAGAAAAATACTTCTTGAATACAAATATTGAACAACACAATACAAAAGACTGAACGAGGGCAGTCAGCACTCCAATGGTTCTTATGCAAAAGAAGAAGCAAAGACTCAGTTTCCTGAGCTGTTGCTCGTTAAATAGTTGGTAGCGATCCCTCCCACGTGACTAAAATAAAGTTGAGTCCTTTTCAATTATATGAAAAGGCCTAACCAAAAAAGAAGCTTGACCCTCTGCTTAGCTGTACCCACCATTTAATGCTACTACTAAAACTACCAATGAAAATAGGTTTTTTTTTTTTACTACTACAAAAACTGTATACGATTACAAACCCACTTTCTCTTCATTTTCTTTGCTTAACTCCACCCTCCCATTTCCTAAAAGAAAAAAGCCTTTCTCTACTCTCCATGGAATTATCAAGGTTTGAAATAATATGATTCTACCGTTTTCTTCATTTCCACCAGACTTTGTGTAACGAAGCAAGATGAATATTTTTAAATTATATAATTCTCAAGATTCAGAACAGAAAGGACCCAGCTCATGTTGTGGGTTTGAATGCACTTTTTTTTATTATTACTTGCAACAATGAACAAATATCATAAAGGTAGGTTGGTCTCCCCAGACAAAAAATTTATTGACAAAACTCCTGTCCACACAATTGCCGCAGTATCTTGTCCTGGTGGTCCTTTTTCTCCCTTTTATAATATTTATCGAAGCAAAAAACATGGATCTATAAAAGTTCAGATTAGTGAATAGGTGTATATCAAAACCCAGAGTGAAGTAATGATGTCCAAAAAAAAAAAAGATTAAGTCAGAAGTAATAAACTGAGATCGATGCCAATGCGCATCATTATTATTTTATATTTTTATACCATAAAAAAAAGTTGCTTACGGCGGGCGTCAGAAGCGTTAAGGAATAAGATGATTTTTGAGCTTTTGTTCCCATGCACACATTCATTCACACCTTTCTATTTTCTTTCCCCTCCTCTCATTCTTGCACTTTGCATACTTAATTCACCCACGCTCTCCCCTCTCTCTGCCTTGCATCGCATCCACACTCGACCTTCATTCTAACCTTTACCTCACTTTATTTTGTTTGGAGTATATTTGTGTGCCGTTGCCAGCTTTGATCTTGACAGATGCCATCGCCTGTTGCTACCACTCCTTTTGCATTCGCATTCAAACTCTTTCATTCATAGAATCCATTTTTGTTTGGCTCCTTTTACTCAACTCTTTTGCAAGCCTTCTTCCTTTCTAAAAGCATCCAAACACAATAGCAGCAAATCAACTAAAAAAAAAATACACAGCCGTCAGTCTTAGTAATTTATCATCAATTGGTCATGCAAATTGACAGCATTTGCAAATACATAATCACACCGAAATAGTAGAGCCATTGTGCATTTCATTATCACATTCACTTCGTGTTAAACAGCCCAGGAAAAATCCCCACAAAATCACAACGTTATCGTATCTCTTTCTCTCTCTCTCTTCAACAAATGCACATTATTCGCGGCTACTTGGCCGTACTCTCTAGCCTCCTTTTACTTCTACAGCTCGCTTCTCAGCAAGCGTTGGCTCAGGAATCAGGTAGGAATACGCACCATCATTGATTTGTGTATGTGTCTTTTTATTTTTATATTTTTATTCCATTGTTCTTCCTTCATCCTTCATTTACACATACACATATCGGTCTGCAACGAATTACTTTTTTGTTTTACATGGTCAGACATGACGTCCCAAGGAAGTTCCCTTTACTCTTTCTAGTATGAAAAAGAGTGAACAAATGACAAGTGAGCAAGAAGAGGGCGAGGAAAGGTGCGGAAACACACAAACAAACTAATAGAGTACATTTGCGACATCAACAATGACGAGACCTGTGTGTGTAATTCTGTGCGTATTTCATGCCTGTGTTCTTGTCGTCTGCTGCTATTTTTATCGCTCCGTCTGGATGGAGCCATTTAACCATCCTCACCAGCCCACTCCAACCAAATAAACATGACAAAACAATACCTCATCCTACGAGACTTCATGAGATGACTCTAATATATTGTAAGAAGTCTGCAGGCACATGCACTCCTTAGTCAACGAACCACAGGCAGGGCATGTGGAGCACAAGCAAGAAATACATATACTAACCTGTATTTTTGAGCATATTATGAAAGCATTGACATGTGCAGCCCAACGGACAATAGGGTTGTGCACAGAGAGCACCGGAGAGGAAGAAGACCCTTTTCATCTTTTGCACCAAGCAATTCAATCCACTAACCCAGTAATATTGACTCTCCATGTTGGAATACATTCGAATAGCCTGTACATCCGTCCCAATATGCGCCCCTGCCCCTGGAGAAAGTTGGACCCAGGACTCACTTGAGTCTATTATCTGGAACCCTCTTATGACTGCACCTTTCAACCAATATGAAAGGGTTGATATATATATCGTTGATGATGCAAACGCCACTCGCACGCTGTTGGTGCATAAGGCGGTTGACTTGAACTTGGGTATGACGGCTGTAAGGCTCGAGGCGCCATTCTTCCCCGAGGATGCACCAGTGAACCGGTCATGCCATATCTTGATGATCAGAGCGAGATATCCTCCTGATGGCAATTACGAAACGCTTAACTCTAGCACCTTTTTCATGATTCGTAAGTTTTTTTTTTTTTTTTTTTTTTCTGAAAAAAAAAAAAAAAAGGTTTGAAAGTGAGACTTACTTTATTATTCTGATTTTAATTATTCCTGGATTCTTCAGGTACCAAACAAACTGTGAATGGCACAACGGTCCCTATTCAAGCAACTGCAACATCAACAGGATCATTACCGACAACACAACTCACAGGCACACTAACATATGTTACTACACAGCCAACCAATATCGTAGCAACGGAGAATATACCCGGTTCTGGAGCAGTACTACCAACCCTGCCGATCCTACCAGCGGACTCTACCAAGGAGTCGAATGGCCTATCACCTCTTGTCATCGGGCTTATCTCAGCGGGAGTCCTTGTGCTTTTAATCGCCATTGTAGCCATAGGCCTCTTGCTCAGGACACGGAAAAGATTCAAAGGTGATCCCAGCTATTTTAAAAATCTATATGATCAGCCCAGCTCACCTACGGATGACGCTAGCAAGAAATACATTTTCAAGGACGAAGGAGATAAGAGCATGACAAGTAGTGGATCGTTCGTTAACCCAACGATTGGTATTGCCTTGGCAACAGGACGCAACTCGGCCAACACTGTTCGCTCAGCTGACCCAGTAATCAAGGTCGCGCCGGGCATCCTAGGCCATAATAATCAAGAATCATCTCCCACCACCTATTTACCTCTAGTAGAACGCAAGTCACCAATACTCCATCTAGAACCATTCCAAGAGATACCAGCAACAGTAACAATAACGACAGGAGAGCAAAGGGCGGATGCGGTGAGTGATTCAGCAGAAAAAGCACCTTCTCGCGCTGCCAAAGGCTCCACCTTAAGTGCAGGTGATGCTCAATTAATTGCAGAGACGTTTAGAAAATCGATGCGGAGACCACGATGGGAAGACCCAGAAGAAGAATTAGAAGAGGTGGAACAGGATGAAGCACGTCGTGCGGCTAATGAGCTACTAAGGAAAGAGCTGAGCGAGCAAGGGTTAGACGTACAGCGTGGGGTCCAACGGCGGGTTACGATACAGAACCGACCCCATCGGTCGAGTGTACCGCCGCCCATCTCAGAAAGCGTCTCCATTCCAGAACCATGAACCTTGGAGACTGATGCCTTAATATTACAAATCTATCGAAGCTTAACTCTCACTAAATAATAACTGTAAAAAAAAAAAAAAAAAAAAAGTGTACTTGTTGACAATTGACGGTCTGTAGGGTAACTATTTCAAGTATTTATCTTCATCCCATATCATGGTCAATTCACTATAAGAGGCAGAAACCACGGTTCGTTCTGCTTCTTCACAGATCTCCAAAACAAATGTCTATTGACAGATACTTTGCGCCTAGACACCTTGTGTACATTATATCTCTATTGGATATGGTATATTAACTTTAAGTGTAAGGATTTACAAAGGCATGCGTTGATATCGACTTTGTGCCTGTGATGAGTTAAACAAGCCAACAAAAAGAAGATTGGGATTTAAACTAGAAAAACGACCACAGGATTAATGCAGGAAAGCCCGAGTCCAGTGACTCGATTGTGATTTATCAAATGCAGTGATATGAGCAAATAGTGCTGGAGAGAGGCTCCGTTACTTATTATTGTCGAAATCTATTGAGAGAGGCCTTAATGTCATTAAAGATAAAGATCAACAATACTTCGATGAGCATCGACGCGCGTCCAGACGGTAGATGTATCATTATTAATCCTAGTCTATTGGGAAGAGACTAAACAAATTTGTGGAGCCTCTTGTATCAAGCATTGAATCCCCAGCTTTGCCAGATCGGTGTGTTGAGCTTCTTAACAACCGTGATCTCTTATTAATGAAAGATGAAACTGACTGCTCTAGCCTTTGTGGCTAATTGGATCGCTCTTCTTTGGGTTCTGCCAATAGTCCCTTGGCTGAACACTGCTCCGCCCTATTACTAAGGCGAACATTGATGATATCCTCCATCCTTTCCATGGTTTTTGTCAACCGTCGCTGTCTTAACAAGCTCTGCAACAGAACCTTGTCTGCGGCGGGTAGGCCTAACGTAGGTCCTGGACAGCGCCTGTTGCGATGCGCATCCATTTTTTTTTTTTTTTTTTTTTTTTTTGACAACAAGGACCCATGAGGTCATGTAGGATTTATTTAGATGTTAGCTCTATAAATGAGTTGCCCCATTACTGGGGCCGCAAATAAAGCGGTATCCAATAATCAGCAGAAGCCGCATCGTCATACTGCCACAGTACAGCATCCTGTTCATAAACCACGTCGGCATTGATTAGACTTCCTTGGTCCCTGGGGACCTGTGGCACGGCTCTACTCCCTACTTGGCCTGTTGTGCGCGAAGGTCATCCTTTAGTCGCAGTCCTCAATCATCAAAAATTTGCAACTCCCCAGGCGCTCCATAACCGCCAATTTCACCTGGTGTCGGTAGCTTGCCGTCACCCGCTGGTCTGCCTCAGTCCTGATCGCCTTCACGTCTACTGTTCGTCGTTGTCCCTGGTGAGAGCCAAGGAATTCACCTCTGCTACGTCTATGCCTCCCAACACAGTTGCGTCCCCTGTCATTTTAGGCGTTACACATTGCTCCCCCTTTTTTTTTTTTTTTTTTTTTTTTTTTTAACAAGAACCCACAGAGATGAGGAATTTATTTTCATAATCTCGTTCTAAATCATTCTTTCTGTTACGTCCTGAGGCTAGGGAGTGTACCCAAATGGAGCACTCCCCTTTTTATTCATAGATCAGAGCAATTAGTGACGGCTATGTTGGAGCCTATATAAGACTCCGACCTAGCTAAAATAATAAACAACTTTTGATCTCCTTGACTTCCGATTTACCATAAAACATTTCATTTTTTCAAGGATCTACATAGAGTTACATCCATCCATTTTATCAATCCATCCAACCATTTTTTTTTTCCATAATTTCAATCCATCCTTTATTTCAATCATGTCTAATATTAATAAAGTACCAATGCAAGCGAAATCACTATAATAATTTTGTGCAACATAGTATTTCGCCCATATTTCTAGAGCATTCCTTGCAACAGGATATTAGTATAAATAGGTCTACTTTTCTATCTAGTTCTGTAGCATAGTTCCCCCTGAATAAAGATACCTTTATTGCACCCTTAGATCCCCCTAGAACACTACCTTGACTTTTGCATTGGTAGCAAAGGAAACCACGACCACACCCAGAGAACTACAATTACCATTGAATTTCACCCCTCGCCATGGAACACTTGAATAACGCCCTTTCGTCCATCGATCTTCCTCTGAACATTCGCGAAGCCATAGCTACTGCTTTTAATCAGGCCCTCTCTACTGCTAAAGCCAACGAAGCCGCTGAGAATGACCTAGCCAGAACCCTCGCCACGGTCCTAAAGCCACAGAAGCCTACGCCTTACGAAGGAGCTATTAACGCTGTTGCAGCCTTAAACTTTGTCGACAGCCTGGAGGAGTATTACACTATTGTCACACTCACGCCATCCAAATGGGTTCGATACGCTGTCCTCAGTCTCAATGGCGAAGCCAAGGCATGGTGGAGAGATTCCGGGTTGAATCTCGATACACCTTGGGCTGACTTCCGTAAAGCATTCCTCCGTCAGTTCACCCCTCCAGATTCTGCGAATGCAGCTCGCCGAGCGTTGGATAAACTTCGTCAGGGAAGGATGAGTGTGGCAGAATATACGAGCAAGTTTAGAAGCCACCTACGTCTGGCTACAAATCTCGACAAAGACTCTGCTTTGCAAAAATACATGCTAGGCCTTGAGCCCGAAACAAGCAAGCAGGTAAGACTTAGACAGCCAGAGACGTTGGACGATGCCATTGAGCAGGCGACCATTGTCCACAGTATTCTACATCCCATCGATGCCACCCCTGTATCCGCTACCCCGAACGCCTTATCACCCCATCATGAGAATAATTCTGGCCCTACACCAATGGATCTCGATAACATGAGAATGTTGGTTGCCAACCTGTACACCTCTCTCCATCAGCAACGACCAAACAGAAACCACTCCAAGCCAAGCTCGCTACCCAAGCTCACAGCAGCTGAACGAGAACGTTGCGTTCGTGAGGGGCGTTGTTTCAGATGCCGGAACCGAGGTCATAGAGCCGAACAATGCCAACGCACCTCTGTCTTTAATATAGAAAACAATGACCATACGCTTTCTGAGTCGGGAAAAGAGGAGGGCGAGCAGTAAACCAGGCCTGCCTCGCCCCCTCTAGCCCCAGCCTTCAAGCCCTGGATAATAGAGGGCATGGTCAGTTACAGTTGATGACTACAAATAAAAATCCTTTGTGCACAAATATAACATCCATGCCCCTTTCTGATCACTCTATTGCTCCCACTGCATCTACTTCCTTACATATACTCTCTAAGTATTCACCTCATCCTGATCCCCATTCCCCTACTCATTCCTCATTGCTAAAAAACAATCCCCTCTCCGACCCTATTTTCCCCTCCACTGATCCTTTCACTGTTTCCACTTCACTCACTTCCACTCATTCATCTACCCCTAGTTCATCCAATCGCCACTCCCATTGTCGTAACGAAATTCGCCTTCAATCCTTCAGCCTTACCTATGACAAACATAAAAACTCTCGCCGACTCCTTACTTTCATTGGAGCAGTGAATGGTCGACCTGCGCGCATTCTTGTAGATGGAGGGGCCGAAGGCAATGTCATAAGTTCCTCTTTCTGCGAGAACACACATGTTCCGCTAATTGAGGGTAGACCCATTCCTGTCATTCTTCCCAACGGTACCGAGACAATTGCTCAGCACACAGCCACGTTCACCCTCGCCCGCAACGCGTATCAGGATAAAATCAACGCCATTGTTTATCCTCTATCCAAATACGACCTAATTTTGGGTAAACCATGGCTGACGGATATCAACCCTCGCATCAATTGGCGAACAAATGATCTGCATTTTGAATACCAAGGTACCCCGGTCTTGTGGCCTTGCACTGGCATCGACAGGAAGCCTAGACAGCGATCTTCCGTCATATCTGCTCTTAACTTCCTTACCGTTGCCTCGGAACCTGATGCCTCTGTATTCCTCGCCCAAGTTCGAGTTCCAGTACCTGTCTCTAGCAGTAGTTCTGAACTACCGGACTCTATCAAGCAAATCGTTCAAGTCGAATTCCCTGATGTCTTTCCTACAACACTTCCCGATGGCCTTCCCCCTGACAGAGGTGATAGCATGCGTATAGAGACTGACCCTTATGCTGACCCACCTGTCCGACCTGTCATCAGATTGTCGATCGCTGAGCTTGATGAACTGAAGAAGCAGCTAACTGATCTTTTACAAAAAGGATTAATCTCACCGAGCACCTCACCATACGGTGCTCCAGTCCTCTTTGTGAAGAAAAAGGATGGCTCGCTTCGAATGTGTGTTGATTATCGGGGCCTGAACAAGATCACAAAGAAAAACAGGTACCCCTTACCACGGATCGATGAATTGATCGACAGATTCAGAACAGCTAAATGTTTTACCAAGCTGGATCTACTCTCGGGCTATCATCAAATGCGTCTCCATCCTGATGATAAACACAAGACCGCGTTCCGAACTCGCTATGGCCACTACGAGTTTAACGTCGTACCTTTCGGTCTTACAAATGCACCAGCAGCGTTCTCGACTATGATGCGTAACGTACTTGATCCACTTCTTGATAAATGTGTTGTTGTGTATCTCGATGATATTTTAATTTACTCCGATAACGAGAAAGATCACTTAGAGCACATCCGACAAGTACTCTCCCTCTTGCGTCAAGCTGGGCTTTATTGTAAATTATCCAAGTGTTCCTTCATGCAGGAAGAGACTGAGTTCCTAGGCCATGTCATATCCAAGGATGGACTCAAGACGAATGGCGGACTTGTCAAGGCAATAAGGGAATGGCCAGTACCAACAACCCAACGACATGTGATGCAATTCCTTGGTTTGACTAATTTTTACCATCAGTACATTTCTCATTACGCTGATATTGCTCTTCCCCTCACACAATTGTTAGGCTGCAATAAGGAATTCCACTGGGGAAAATCTCAACAAGACGCCTTTGAGACTTTGAAAAGAGCAGTGAGCTCAGCACCAGTTCTTAGGATATTCGAT